AATTGCTCAACATTCTCATCCTTTTTAACACCAACAGAATATGTATGTATTATGACAGCCCCCAAAGAATCATAAATAATATTCCAATTATTAATATTATTTTGCTAACAATGTGTTACATAAACTCATTAATTAATCATATTACTAATAAAATGCCGGTATAAAAATCTAACAATAAAAAAAGAAATCTGTAAAAGTAAATCATTACAAAGATAGAATTTATGGGAGATTCTTTGTCAGACTTCGGTCTCATCACAATGAATAAATAGCATTCACTTTCACTAGATCATCTATTAGGAAAAAAATGCAAGGTTGAGTGTATATACAACAGGTTTATAACATTCTTCTGTTAGTTATGTTACATAAAACTGTGGGTGGTGGTTGATCTGCTGTAGATATTTTTTATCCTGTTTTTTTTTCTATATACAGGGTCTGGTAATAGTGCGTCGAACATCTGTAGCTTCTAGAATAAAAAAAAAACTTGAGAATTTTGTTTAAGTGCAAATCTAAAATATGTACGAGGATGTATTTCAGGAGAATATTGTAACTTCTACAGGGTGGCTCAAAAAAGTGTGAGTGGATCGGGATGATTTTTTTTAAATGGAACACCCTGTATATTATTGCATTTTTGGCTTCCTTTTGGATCACTTTACATAGTCCTAAGATATGAGTAAATATATCTCGATAGTTTCAGAGATATTAATAAATAAAAAAAATATATTTTTCAGTCTAAGTAAAAAAATATTAAAAATACAAGAACTGTCCTGAAATCAAAACTATATTAGGCATTTACTTTAGATGGTTTGTACTTAATTTGCTACAAGTATCGTGATCTTAAATTTTACAGGGTGTTCAAAATTCTACGCCAAACTTTGTGAAATATAAAATAAATTTTCTTTGTTTTTTTTTAATGGAACAGCCTGTATATTATTTTTTTAATAAATACAGAATTAAAAAATAAACATTTCCTGAATTTAGAGTATCAAAGCCACCCAATAAAATTTTTCTCTGGTATTTTACCTTTGAAAGAGCCATGCGAAATAATACCGCAAGTATCTGCAAAGCCGTTAAAAATTTTCAAATACTCTAAATACAAAAAATGTTCATTTTTTAATTCCTTATCTATTAAAGAAATAATATACAGGGTGTTCTATTTAAAAAACCAAGAAAAATGTGTCGTCTCTACTGAAGTAACGACTTGCTCTAGAAAGTTGCTTTTTTACTAAAAGATAGTTAATTGGCTCTTCTAAAAACTGTCGTCGCCGGATTTTTTGTTTTTCATTTAATTTAAAAAAAATAAGTATTTTTTTCCTAATGTTGCGGATGTCGCCAGGCTTCAACTAGTTATTTTATATTTTAAAGTTTGACGTACAATTTTGAACACCCTGTATGATTTAAGATTACGATATTTATAGCAAAGTAAATACAGACCATCTAAGGTAAATAACGAATATAGTTTTGATTTCACGACATTTTTTTGTATTTTTAATATTTTTTTAAAGAGACTAAAAAATATATTTTTTATTTATTTATTAGTATCTCTGAAACTATCAAAACATATTTAAAAATATCTTAGTATTATGTAAAGTGATTAGAAAGGAAGCCAAAAATACATAATATACGGGTTGTTCCCTTTAAAAAAATCATTCCGATCAACTCACACTTTTTTGAGCCTCCTTATAGAAGTTAAAATATTTTCCTGAAATACATCCTAGTACATTCTTTAGGTTTGCTAATGCTGGACCCTGTATACTCGGAAGTATTGAGTATAATATATTTTTAGAGAGCTCATAATAACATAAATAAAATGAAAAAAAATAATATAAAACAGGGCCTCCCATTTAAAAAATTAAGTCTGACTTATATTTTGAAAATGACAGCTCCCAGCAAAAAACTAGTTATTGAAAGTCTCTACGGGACTCAGTTTTTGTCTTTTTGAAAAGTTATAAGTTATTTAGGATACGAAGGGAGTCAAAAAAATGCAACATTTTCAAATTTGCCCTGTATTTCAGGAACTAAGAGGGTTAGGACCAATCTGTAGTGTAATTGTAATAGAATTATAAAAAGCAGCACAGTAATTGAGAAAACCACATCTTTTTACCTCTATATATAAACGAGAAACCCTGTAAAACACACGAAAATGGGACACTCTGTACAGGGTGGCTCGAATTCGACGCTCATCATTGGGATTTCGGAAACCGTAAGAGATACAGGATCGGTTAAAAGGAGGCAAAGTTGCGCAATTTGATGCTCAATAAAATGCCGGATTGCATTTTGAAAAATTCCGAATACTTCCGAATATATTCGAAAAAAAAAACGGAATTTTCAATTTTGTTTTCTATTGTTTCCTGGCTTTATTTGTTAAGATAACTTAAAATGAAAAACATATTTTCATGGCCATTTTTTCTGCTCTATAACTCTGTGTGATTAAATATTGACTCTGATGTTTCGGCTTCTGGCGACCATCATCAACTCAATTTTTTTAAATACGGACCTGATTTTTTTTTCAATTTAATTAAATCCTTTCATCACTCTTAAAATACTATATATAGTCACATTGATATTTGCCGACATTTCGTACAGAAGATTTCATCACCAGAATATTTGATGCAAAAAAAATAAAAAATAAAAATGCAATACGGCATTTTATTGAGCATCAAATTGCGCAACTTTGCCTCCATTTAACCGATCCTGTATATCTTACGGTTTCCGAAATCCCAATGATGAGCGTCGAATTTGAGCCACCCTGTACATCTCCTTTCCGTCGTGTATCGTCTAAATATCACATTGAAACATTTCCAATCGGATTTCTACATGGAAAAGCTCGATGTGAATCTTCTTGACATATTGCCTCCTATTTTAAAGGTGGAAACAAAGTGGAAGGAAACTATTAGCATTTAGATGGTCGAGCGCGAGATCGTGTGGATTCACCCATCCCAGCTGGGTAGGTCAAGAATTCAAAGCCGCCTACCGCAATCGAAGGGTAAATGTTAAAGAAAATATGCAAATTGTTTTAAATAATAATCTTTAAAATCTCAATAGAATATCAAACGGAGCCGACTTGATAGTATACCCGGTAAATATATCCAAACATATTCATATATCACGTTATCTGAAGGTTTAATCATACAATCAAATTATATAGAATTAGAATTTATTTATTTACTAGACCACCCGGATAATTTCGTACCACCTAACCACAGATTTACACAGATTTTTCAGTAAGACGGAGAAACTAAATAATACAAGAATAGCTTTCGGTCAAAGAGTAGATAAGACAAGAGACGACAGTGAACAAAGAAGTCGAATTTTGCGAGAGAGACGCAGATATATTAAAATTTAAAGGTCCCACTAAGTCCCATTTTGTCTGTTGCCAAGTATATTTCTTTGAAAAATAAACAAGATTTTCTAAAAATAAATTAATAATATAAGAAGGATATAAGTAACGTATGTTAATACGGAAATGTAAATTTTTAGTTTAGGTTGGTTTAGGTTCTTTTTTCGCAATGTACTGATAATATCAAAGAAACAGAATTACTAACTAAGTTGATCGATTTCAAAGATAAACAGATAAAATCTGAAAATCTGACAACGGCGTATTTTATTTATTCTAACCTATGATTTTAGGACGCTAATCAGCTCTGCTAATCAGCTGTGCTAATCAGGCTTAAACATAAACAAATCTGATTAGTTGTTTCTTGCATTTTTGCCTTTTTAAAATGTGTTTTCAGAGTTTTTAAGGTTTAATTTTAGTATCGTTTTTGTTGCGTACTAATTTGTAATTATTGTTAAATATGAATACTGAACAGGACACGAGTAGCAGGAAAAGACGAAATGGTGGCAATGTGTGTGCTTATAAAGACTGCAAAAATAGGTCTTATTCTTCGACAAACATAATATTTCACTCTTTTCCAAAGGATCCTGAAAAGTATTTTTATAGAAAATATACTATATAATTATGTTATTAACCTAATTGTAATTCATAGATCGAAGACATGGTTAGAAGCTTGTAATATATTTTTACAAAAAAAATTGAGCAACTCTATTTTTTTGTACATAAACTCTTCAGTTGTGATATTACACTTGTTTAAGTCCATATGTAAAAAAAATACACGTAAATAAAACATTTCTTACAAATCGACTTGGTCACTTTATCTTGTTTACCAAAGATATACAAAATATTGCTTTTATTATCTTTATTCCCCGACAAATATGTTTCTAATTATAATTTATTTCATATAATATTTAGAAAACTCATTTTTTTTTCATTTCTATTTATTTCTTTACCCATACAGTAACTATTTATAAGCTATACAGGCAAGTTTTAATAATAGTCTATTTCAAACTTCCCGCGAAAATATTACGAAAATTTAAAGGGACAAGCGAGACGAGGTCACTCTCCGCACCACTCAAACATGAAAGGTACCGCGCGAACTGTCGTCTCTTGTCTTATCTACTCTTTGATTCGGTCCGTCTACAAAGTATCCGGAAAAAAGAAAGTAAAATTACAATTATCGATATATATTTTTAGGACTTGAGTTAAAAAAAAATAACAAATTAATTTATTTTATTTACTTATACAGCCTCCATTTAACTCCAAACACTTAACTAAACATCCAGGTACACCCCAAACTAGGTCCACACCTTAATGTTCAGTGACGGTAGTCCAGGCCTGTAAAACTGAGCGAATCAAATCTTGTTTATTTCGAGGAGCTGCTCGTTCCACTTCAATCTTCATTAGTCCCCATATGTTTTCAATAAGGTCTGGTAAAGCTGCTGGCTATGGAATTGTTGCCAAATGGTGTTCTTGCATCCAAGCTAATGCCACTAAAGCGTTTAAATAGTTTTCGCGAATCTTACACGGCCTTCCTGAAACTGGTCCATGCTTCATATCTGTGCAATTTTTTATACTCTTTATTGTCTCATACTTAAAATAAAGAAAAAAATATAAACTTAGGTAGAATTTTTGAGATTGTCTTAATGAAATATATTTGTTACAGGTAAAAGAGGCAGAAGTCTGGACAACATTTGCCCCGTTGGTGATCCACTTCGTGTCAGTGATACGGTGCGTCCATTTTTATGCGGCACCGACCCTGGCAAACCCAGCTGTCCACCTCTGTACCAGTGCTTAGTCCAGAAAGGCAACGATTACGGAGTTTGCTGTCCGGCATCGTTGAAAATACAGAAAACTGGACAGTGTCCTATTGAGCCTGAGGCTGGATTTGAGTGTGGAATTATGTGTACTCACGATCTGGAATGTCCATCGGTACAGAAATGTTGTCAGACTGAAAAGTGTGGGTCGTCTTGTATGCATCCGAAAAATATTACAGGTAAGACACTGTACTCGTATACCGGGTGGTGGCATTTTGTTGTAAGAAATCCCATGCAAATTTTGAACTGTCCAAATATTGGCTCCCCTGTTTATTACCCAAAGCAAAGTCGTAAATATGTATGTTTTTAAAATGTTCGACTGTTCGATTGCCTCTAATCGTAATATAGGTACGTTTTTTTTTTCGTTTTATAAGTTCGATTGCTATTATTGGTTTGATGATTGAACTTGATTAGCTTTCTTATTTATTTTCCTACTGATATTATTTTGAAAGATATATTACACAAAAATAATGACCTACAATGAGAAACAAGATCCCATCAAAAGCATAAAATGTAAGTTTCGCTACAAAAAGTTAGGACATCTACAGGGTGGTCCGAACTGTATTCCGGAAATTTCGGCAGCATATTCTACAGGTAAAAATAAGTAATAAAGTTCGTGTAAATGTATGTTTTAAAATTCTTGCGTAATAACTTTTCGTCCGTACCTGTATAAAACTACTCGGTAAAAAAATATACATTTATGACGTTTTCCACGTAAAAAAGGTCTCTTGGTAGAAATCGCTACGAGTAACGAATCTCGAGATATTTGGAATTGAAATTATCAATACCTACATCATTGACAAATTAAACATGTTGACCAAATAGTTATTAGACTGAAATCATAAATTTGAAATGTTTTTGTGCCCAAATGTTTAACAGAAAATTTTTTATCATCATTTTTTCATCGAAAAATTTATAATTAATTTAAGAAAATATAAATTACCCAAATTTATTATTTCGGTCAAATAACTGTCTACTCAACGTGTTTATTTTTTGGTAATAATGACATGTATTAATTATTTCCCTTCTAAATATCTTGAGAACAGTTGCTCGTAGCGATTTTTATCAAGAGACCTTTTTTACGTGAAAAACGTCGCAAATGTATATTTTTTTACTAAGCAGTTTTAAATAGGTACGAACGAAAAGGTATTACTCTTTAAAGCTGTTAAAATACACGTAGGTGGCGCCCTCTACAAATAAGCGTCATATTGACATCAAAATCGAATTTCTCATGTCAAAAAACTGCCAGATACCAACTTTCATCCAAATATTGACGTTACTCCAGAAATTATTTGGAAAAAATCGAAATAAAAATGAAAGTTCTACACACTGAATATCCGAAACTAATCATTTTAGGACATATCCGGAGTACAGTTCGGACCACCCTGTATAAAAATAACTATTTTTAAGAATATAAGGTCAAAATGGGATGTAATCTATTACCTATCAATATTTAGCTTTGGATAAAAAAAATATATTTATAGTGCTTCCATGACATTAACTAAAATGACTTGGTTTTACATGCAATCTCACAACTTTTTGTAGTGAAAGAACTTAGTTGCTAGACTTGGCGTTTTGTTACATTTTATGTTTTTACTAGGATATATATATATATATATATATATATATATATATATATTATTATACCACACCGGAAAAGTCTAGGGATATTACAATTTCATCCAGCCATCGTCAGTAATTTTATTATTTGCATTTCTGATATAATAAAATTAAAATAAACAAATAGTTTACAGGACGTATTGGAAATAAAAATGCGAAATTTACGGAATTTTTCAAATTTACCTTGATTTTTATTGAACTCAAAAAAATACACACATTTTTTTAATTCTAAATTGGGAATTAAAAAAAAGATAAAACCATTTTTACTTAATAAAGGGTATGGCCTCCTCTACTGTTCATTACAGCCCTAAATCATCTCTCCATGCTCCTGATCAGGTTGTCGATCTCTTCTTGAGGTACAGCCTGCCACGCTGCATTCACGGCCCGAACCAGATCCCTACGAGTTTCACGAGGCATGTCCATTCTCAAAATTCTTCTTTGGACCGCGTCCCATACGTGCTCGATGGGGTTGAGGTCAGGAGATTGTGCCGGCCAGGGTAAGATGTTTAATTGATGAGCATTGATAAACTCACTTACCACTCTGGCTGTATGAGGCCGTGCATTGTCATGCATGAGAATGAAGTTTCTCCCAAAATCATTGGCATATGGTAACACGACAGGCTCAAGAATTAAATCACGATATGTGATTCCTGTTAGAAACCTTTCAAGAAAAACGAGATCGGTTTTTCGGCCTAACTGGACTTCTCCCCAGACCATAACTGTTCCACTTGATAAGGGTGCACTTCCTGAACATGATCCAACCGAATAAGATTTCCCGGCTCTCTCCATACCCTAAGCCTTCTCGAATCCGGATGAATTCCAAAGCGTGACTCATCCGTGAAGAGAACATTGGCCCATTGTTCATTCGACCACTGAACATGATCTTGAGCCCACAAATATCGTACCTCTCGATTTCCTCTCGTTAAGGGTTGAGCTCTCCAGGGGCGTCTGCTTCTTAAGTTGACCTCTCTTAATCTATTGCGAACAGTGTCAGGACTAAGGGTTACATTATGTGTTTCCTGGAGAATTAAACTAAGCTCTGGTGCTGTAAGAGTCGGTCGGCGTCGAGCATTTAATTGTAAAAAATAATCTTGCTGAGGGGTAGTAATGCAATGTCGCCCTGTGTGCCTTTCAGCAACATCACCACTTTCATGGTAGCGTGCACTTAATCGCGATATTACACTTTGCGTTGTATTTAATGCTCTAGCTACGTCGATTTGGCGCATTCCAGCTTCGAGCATACACGAGCCTTTCGTCTCTGTTAGTTCGTCTCACAGCATTTCGTCTCTGTTAAGATGTCTACGCTCCATAATGTAGTTTAATACTAAACAGAGTTATTTGAATGAATGCTAGCCAGTTATCATAAAAACATAGCCAGTACAGGTTAAATTCGAACAGTTGATGCTAGGTGCTTTTTATACATTTGACAAAAAATGCACAAACACTTCTGCAAATATCCCAAATTTAGAAATAACTAGTGTGACTACTTCGTTTCAATCGAAGTAGAAATAATCGGCCTACAAATATGTGGTTGTTTATTCAAAACATTTATTTTTAACTTTAATAAAATGATATCCCTAGATTTTTCCGGTGTGTGTATTTTTGTTAATTCTGACTATTAAAATAAATAATGTTTTTCTTTTAAGAATGTTATCATCAGAAAGCCCTATCGGAAGTCTTAGCGGTTAGTGAAAGAGCAGGGCGTGGTTATATACCCCAATGTACCGACGATGGTCAATTTGAACCCAGACAGTGCAGCAGAAACGGATTGGTTTGTTGGTGCGTGGACAGGATGGGCAGGAAAATTCGAGGATCTATGGGACCCTCCGATATTGTAAATTGTTCCATCGTGGATGGTAAGTTTTTTTTGAATAATCGTTTAAATAATCCACACTAAATAAATTTTATGTAATTATAGAAAATATAATCTTAGAGACAGTGTGTGATCTTTCTCTTTAGATGGTGTCTTAATACTACTTATTATTGTAGCGGGTTAATTGTAAATTGACTGCCCTACTAATTGATATCCAGAGGGTAGTCAGTCTCATTATCATCAAAGTATAAATTATTAAAGTATTGTATTTATAAAACGATTCTTCATAGCTACTTGCCTTCTATTTTTGAAGTGCAACTTAAGAAAATACATACAGGGTGATCCGAATTGTATTCCGGAAACTTTGGCAGCATATTCTACAGATAAAAATAAGTAAAAAAGTTCGTATAAATGTACAGTGGTGGAAAAAAGTATGGAAAGTTTTTACTTTTTAAAATATCACAGAAAATATTGCTATGCTTAAACTCTCAGGAATATAAATGAACAGCTTATCAGCAAATAAAAGTATTCCAAAAATTACACAGCGAAAAAAATCTGTTTAGCAGTTTTTGTAGAACAATAGATTTCTTGTGGCCAAAAGTATGGAAACCATAAATAAATACATTAAAATTATTTAGTTTAAGCTGATAAACGGTACGATTTGCTTCAGATAAACATAAACATCATGCCCAAGTCTAAATATTTCTCTACGGATTTAAAAAATAAAATAGTTGAATTATACAAGAGCGGTTATAAACTAATTCAAATAAGTAAAAATTTAAACATTTTAAAAGGCACCGTTTCGAAAATAATTAGTAAATTTAATAAAACAGGGAACGTTTCAACAGCTTTTAAGTCAGGAAGACCAAAAAAGTTGTGCAACAGGACAATGAAAGTAATGAAGAGAATATCAATGGGAGATCCAAGAAAAACATCCACAGACATTTCTCGAGAAATGGGTGAAAGGGGAATATCGGTGTCTGCACGCACGGTGAGAAGAAGGTTGGATGACATGGGACTTTTTGGAAGAGTTGCGGTGAAGAAACCAGTAATATCAAAGAAAAATAGGATGGCCCGGTTTAAATTTGCTCAAGATCATCTCACCTGGTCTTATCAGAAATGGAATACTGTACTGTTTAGCGACGAAAGCAAGTTTCAACTGTTTGGTAGCGACGGGAGACGTTATGTCCGAAGACCAAAAGGTACACGGTACAGCCATAAGTACCAGATGCCCACAGTAAAACATGGGGGTGGGAGTATAATGGTATGAGGGTGTTTATCTCGCTCAGGTGTTGGTCCTCTTGTTAAAATTAATGGGATAATGGACCGTTTTTTGTACAAAGACATATTGGAGAATAATATGCTGCCTCATGCTGATGAAGAAATGCCACTCAGATGGTTGTTCCAGCAAGACAATGATCCCAAGCACAAATCTCGGTTTGTTCAAAATTGGTTAAATGAACATAATGTTCCACTAATGGATTGCCCTCACAGTCTTCGGATCTTTACCCCATAGAAAATTTATGGGACTATTTGGATAGCAAAATTCGAAGCCATTCTATTTCAAATAAAAACGAATTATGGGAAGTGCTAAAAACTGAATGGGCGGCCATTTCCAGTAAAGATTGTACGAGATTGATCGATTCGATGCCACGAAGATGTAGAGAAGTAATTAATTCATAGGGATATTCCACTAAATATTAGTAATTTTTATATTATCTTGAATTTTAATAAACATTCTTCTCAAGTTTCCATACTTTTGACCAAGAAAATATTCATAATTTTTTATATATTTTTTGATAGCTGTAATTTTTTATTTAAATGTATTAGGTTTTGTAGGAAATTATTTGTAGGTCACGATTATATAAGGCGTTTTATTTCATATTTTAATTTCTCAGCATAAATAACAAATTAAAAAAGTTTCCATACTTTTGGCCACCACTGTATGTCCTAAAATACTTAGTTTCGGAGATACAGGGTGTAGAAGTTTCATTTTTATTTCGATTTTTTCCAAATAATTTCTGAAATAACGTCAGTATTTGGAAGAAAATTAGTGTATGGGAGTTTTTTGACATGAGAAGTTTGATTTTGATGTCAATATGACTCCTATTTGTAGGGGGCGCCACCTACATGTGTTTTAACTCTTTTCAAGAGTAATAACTTTTTGTCGGTACCTGTATAGAACTACTGAGTGAAAGAATATACATTTCCGTGATTTTTTACGGAAAAATTGTCTCTTGGTAAAAATCGCTACGAGCAATCGTTCTCAAGATATTTAGTATGGAAATAGTCACTGCATGTCATTGTTGATCAAAAATACGTTGACTACATAGTTACTTGACTGAAATAATAAATTTGAGAATTTTTTTTAATTAATCATAAATTTGTCTGCGAAAAAATGATGATAAAACAGTTTCTGCTGAACTTTTGGCACAAAAACATTTCAAATTTATGATTTCAGTCTAATAACTATTTAGTCAACATGTTTAATTTATTATGTCAATGATGACAGGTATTGATAATTTCGATTTCAAATATCTCGAGAACCATTACTCGTAGCGATTTTTACCAAGAGACCTTTTTTACGTAAAAAAAGTCGTAAATGTATATTTTTTTACTCGATAGTCTTATACAGGTACGGAAGAAAAGTTATTGCTCTTCAAACCAGTTAAAAAATATGTAGGTGGTGCCCTCTACAAGTAGGAGTCATATTGACTTAAAAATCAAATTTCTCATGTCAAAAAACTCCCAGACACCAATTTTCATCCAAATATTGACGTTACTTAAATAAAAATGAAACTTCTACACCCTGTATCTCCGAAACGAACCATTTTAGGACGTACATTTATACGAACTTTTTTACTTATTTTTATCTGCAGAATATGCTGCCGAAGTTTCCAGAATACAGTTCGGACCACCCTGTATAATTAGAAAAATTTAAAATCAATATATTCGTTTCACTCTATGTAAAAAGGTAATAGGTTTGAAGACTTATTTGGTCTATTCAATGGGAAGGGGGTATTTTATTAATGTAATTGTGTACTAAATTAACTTGAACAGATATATTAGCATTCTTGTGTAATCTGCAACTAGTAATTTTCATATTGTCTTTTTTGGTTTGTGACTTTGTAACTTTGTAACTTTTAAGTACTTTTCATCTTCAGATTGTAGCATCCTTCTTCCACGCGGTAGCTGTAGTTTTCGAGAAATACTATTGTAATACAGTAAAACTTCCATATAGCGGCCACAAAAATTTTCAAAGGAATGTGGCCGTTAAGGGAAGTGGCCACTATTGGGAACAATAAAATACAGATACCAATGTAAAAGGCCTTTATTTTGGAAACGTGTACTTATGTATTTTACACATAGGTATTCTTATATACATATGTACAATTGACTTTAAAAAGTTACAAAATGATAACCTTATTTTATATGGTGAAAAACTGATTAATGGTAGTCTGCTTTAAATTTTTAATTTTGATTTTTGTAATTTCACTTTCAAATTTCATCAAAGTATGGGCAATATCAACCGCTAGTTCGTCTTTATTTTGAATCACCAAAAAATTCTGAATCTCTCTTAATTTTTCACATACTTCACTCATATTATTTATAGATGAACACAGAATGTCTTGGCCTTCATCTTCTTCCTCTTCGGCTTGAGTGGAGTCCTGTCTGTCCTTGTTGTTTGTAAATTCCTGGATTATTCCCTGCATCTCTAAACTAGGATTTTCCGTAGGGACATCTGAATCGACTGTCAGATATTCTTTAAGATCTGGACTTCCTGGCATGTTTTTTAAAATTGAAGATAACTGACTTAAAGGAATGTCGTCCTCTTCGTCAAATGCATCGTCCCCTTTGACGGTTGCAAATCCCGCTTTTTGGAAACATTTTTTTATAGTGTTCGATGTAACATTTTTCCATGCTGTACTTATCCACACCATAGTACTTGCCAAATTTATGCTCTCTTTAGCCTTTTCCATCGTTTCTTCGGTATTAGTAAAAGTCAAAAGTCTTTTAATAAAAAATTGACGATATTTTAATTTAAAATTTTGAATAATTCCTTGGTCCAACGGCTGGCAATGAGATGTCGTATTTGGAGGAAAAAAAATTATACGAACATTTTCAAGTTCTATTTTTGGGTGAGACGTGGCATTATCCAAAAATAAAAGAACTTTTCTACCCTGCCGTTTCATTTTGGTGTCAAAGGTTTTGAGCCAAGATGTCATTATATCTGTCGTCATCCAAGCTTTTTTGTTGGATACCCATTCTATCGGCAATTTATCTACATGCGCTCCTTTAAAACATCTCGGGTTTTTGCTCTTACCTATAACTAGCGGATTTTCCTTCTCACCATGCATGCTGCAACAGAAAAGCAGTGTCACTCGTTGTTTAGCTGATTTTTTGCCAGCACATTTATCATTCTTTAAAGCAAAGGTTTTGTTTGGCATTGCCATATAATAAAGCCCTGTTTCGTCTGCATTAAAAATGTCTTTAGTGTCGTATTCCTTAATGATTGCTGTTAATTTTGTTTTCCAGTCTTCAACAGTCACTTCATCCACATCTGCAGACTCACCACAAATTGTTTTGAAGTTAATATTATGTCTCTTGCAAAACTTATTTAACCAGCCAGTTGAAGCCTTAAATTCACTAAGTTTCAAGGATGTAGATACCTCAAGAGCTTTTTCCCGAATTAAGGTTCCCGATATGGGTATGTTTTTGTTCCTTGCCTTACAAAACCATTCGTAAACTAGTTGATCGATTGCAAATCCTTCTGTTTTAGGAAACTTTCGTTTTTTATCTGCATTGCATCCTTCTTCTTCAAACATTTTTTTTAATTCCACTTTGTTTTTTAAAATGTCGTTCACTTGCGTTCTTCCAACACCAAACTTTTCCGCCAACTTTCGAGCACTGCTGTTATATTTTTCACTTTCCGCGACAATATTTAATTTCTCTTTAATAGACAAACGTTTACGTTTCAAAGACATGGTTGCTGTTCTTTCAGAGTAAGAAACTAAACTGATTCTATATCTCCCAAAAATTTCAGCAAACTACTGACGAATTTGTATTGTATTTGTCACTCTCTGTACCTCACTTCCCCTAAGATTAATTCAAACAACTGAAAATTGACCGCTAACAGAAGTGACCGCTTTTTAGAAGTGGCCGAAATGGGAACTTTTACTGTATATTATAAAGAAAAAATATAAATAATAAATAATTATAAAGTTTGTAGAGCGGGAAAAGTAGCAATGGTAATGTGAATAATAAAGAATTAAGAATATGTTTTTTGGAAGTTAATTTTTGTTTTTAGCGCGTTCACAAACAGTGGCTAGAAGCTTAGATAATAAAGGCAACGAATGTGAGCGTCTAGAATGTGCTGCAGTGTGCGAATATGGTTTCAAATTGGGAGAAGATGGCTGTCACACGTGCAAATGTGACGATCCTTGTGACGGATACACGTGTCCAGAGGATGAGGAATGCGTCAATGTCAAGGAATCAACGTGTAGCGATTTCTTATGTCCATCTTTACCCGTCTGTAAGTATGTTTCTTAACTTTGTATACACCAAATTCCTTACTTCTGTTTGAAGGCACATGTTTTTTGAAACACCCTGTATAGAAATATTCGCAAATTGTAAGAATATTTTGTTTTAAATTCTGTAAAGTCTGTAAGAGAGAATAATTGAGACTGACAGTTGTTGACTGTTCATTTAAGTTGCAGACAAATTACATTTTCTGTCATTTTTAGATGTCATCTGTCGAAGTGTTCCCTGCCTCGGACAAATTTTATACATATTTGCCTTGCAGACTATCCATACCTAGGAAATTATTAATTTTCAATTGGTATTTGATTTTCAGGTCGTCCAAAAGCTGTGTACGCCAACCCCTGCGACCAAGGCACGCCTCTGACCGATGATCTCAGCGGTGCCCCAGTAGCCTGCGCGCTCAGATCTGAAGACGGTACTCTTTGTCCTGCATCGTACGAATGTACAGCGGTACCTGGATCGACTCAAGCAGTCTGTTGTCCAATGGAAGAAGTGGAGGAAAAGGATCAGTTGGAAGGAGAAGCCTCGGAGGATTTCAATCGGGAAGAAGAGAGACCACAAACGAGTTAGTAGATTAAGGGTTATTACTTTTAATGTTGGTTATTATACATATTTTAACTGATTTTTAGTGCTAATCAGAGAAAATGTAAATAAATAAAAGTCGGATGAGGTTATATTTTACCTATTGTGTTTATGATATTCTTTTTTAAAATTTTAGTGTGTGAATATCTCCACGATTTCTCAGAAAGTATGGAAGGTACCAGGGAAGGTATGAACTTGGCCCTACCAACTCCAGAATGTGATTTCGAAGGTAACTACTTCCCTACTCAGTGCGATCCAAAAACGAAAGAATGCTGGTGTGTGGATAGCTTTGGAACAGAAATACCAAAAACCAGGTAAATTGTTTTTGGAGAAGAAAATTAATCAATATTAATTTTATTTAGTCAATAGTATGATTAGTATTGAATGACTATTTACATAACTCTTTTTAACTAATTTTTGTAATCTTGTAGGACGAAAGATAACTCAACTAACTGCGAAGAATTGAGAAACAATAGCGAATGTCTTGATTTAACTTGTAGAATGGGATGCGAATATGGATTCATATTATCAGAGGAAACAGGTAAATAATAATACATAAATAATAACATAATAACAAAATACCACTCGATAAAAAAACGGCGTCGAAGATAGCTGGGGAATGATAATCGTTGATAATTTTGGCGATGTCAATTTCTAAAAAAAACTTGTCAAAAATTAGAACTAATTATAGAAAAACTAAAAAAAGGATAGAATGTTACCAGAGACCAAATCTAATTCCAAAAAATATTTTTTTCTCTTATTTTAAACTACACCATTTAAAAATAATTTTTGATTGTTATTCCCCAGCCGTCTTTGACGCCGTTTTTTTTTCTATTGCATGGTAGTTTTATATATATATATAACCCACTATAATGGACTGAACATTAATATAAATAATATTCAGTCTATTATAGTGGATTTGTTATTACAAAATTTTGAAAATATTGCCACTAATGTTATGATAAACATTTATATAAATTTACAAAAAAAAACAAATATTTTGGTGTTTTGAAATTAGTAATTAATAGTCAAGTACCATAACCAAACAATTTTTTCCTAAAATTCTTCAAAAGCATGTTAAAAAATAAAATTATTTAGAATAAGAAGTCGTTATGTAGAAACAAAAAGTTCAACAAAAATTTCTAAGCATCTAATGGCAAAATACACAAAATTCTCTTCTACAATTTCATCTAGATATTTTCCCACAATATGCAGTTCTTTAAACACACATATTAAAGAGAAAATTTATCATTACAGCACTGTATTTAAATTTACATTAGTGCTTCATTGTTCTTCAAAACAATTTTAACTAATTACCTTTTTTCTTATGTAATTTGCCATTTTAAGTATTTTTTAAGTTATTTTTCTCAAGTTGTTAAATTGATTATATTATTATTAATATACAGCATGTCCTACATACTTGTTTTTTTTATATAATTACAACAGACATATTATTTCTGTTTTTTTATTTGTGTATATCGTTTAAATATACATCAAAATTATTTTACGGTAGGATTACTAAATTTATTATATTATACAGGATGTCCTACTTGTCAGTGCCGAGATCCTTGCACTAGCGTTACTTGCAACGATGATGAGCAGTGTCAGTTGGTCGAGGTTAGCTGTAAAGATCATTATTGTCCACCTGTTCCCGCATGTAAGTTTAAAAAATATTGGAATTTTTATTGTGTTTTTTATGCTAAAAATTAGTTATTTTTTATACAAGACGATAAAATACCATTTTATCGTCTTGTAATTAGTTAAAAGATTAATTCACGAGCAATGAAATCGCGAGTGAATTAATTTCGGAAGACGATAATGCAATTTTATCGTTGTGTATAAAACAATATTTTTTTTCCATAGCCAGTTACGTTTTAAAAAATATTCAGAAATTATTATTTCAAGGAATTTATTACGAGTAGAAAAAATATTGTGCTGGGTTGGCGTTGGTTTCTATGTAATTTGACAAATAAATAAAGCTGTCTCTTTTGTTGTCAGTTTTGAGTCAATATTTTTTAATTCTCTTTCGTGTCGATCGCTGATTGAATTGGAACCAGAAGTGGCTCAAAACCAAATAAGTAAATTACCAACAGATATTCAGGCTGAGGCGACAAACGCCATATCCAAACTACTTCCATTTAAATCCCGAATAACTTATGAAAAGGAATACAAAAATTTTCAAAAATGGAAGCAATTAAAAAACGTGCGAGAAGAAATAAAGATTTTAACCTATCCTCGTTGTTAAAGTATCATTTAATCTACCCTTGCGGTTAAAGTACTATTTTATCTACTATTTTTGATAGATATCAGGGAATTTTAACAGTTGCTATGGAAAAAAATTGTAACACTACTTCTATGATTAATGGTGTGGTTGTAAATAAAATAGTAGACAAATAGTGGTATTTTGAAGGCAGATTTTTGCAAATAACATTTAAATGCCGATTCCAAATGAAACGAAATTCTAGACGAAAGTTCAATTTTAACGCTTTTCTTTAAAAAAGTCAAATACAACTTTTGCATGAAATTATCTGGGGAGATAATAAGTTTTTATTTATTTTTATAAATAGGTCTTAAATTTTTTTAGGCCTCCCTAAAAAGGTCGGTCAATGTCCTTACTTAGTACCAGCAACATCGACAACTTGCGATTTCGAATGCTACTCAGACTCCATCTGCAACGGAACAATGAGGTGTTGCTCGAACGGTTGTGGTACTCAATGCGTAGAACCCTTACTCTATACCGGTAAGGAAATACTTTTATTGAGTCTCCAACACCATAACTCTAATTCTATCTTTTTTCAGCTTGTCAGCATCAGAAAACACTAGCAGAACATCAGGCTCATGAGTCTGGAATGCCTGCGGGAAAAGTATATATTCCTTCCTGCGAGGGTGATGGCAGTTTTAGCAAAAAGCAGTGTCATCCAGGTACAAAAGAATGCTGGTAAGTAACTCGCCAGAGGAAGTCTGACAGCGGCAATGTTGCCACAGCTATCCCATTCGAGGTAGATCTATCCCTTTGTAAGACAATTTTACCCCGCTATCTCGTGATAATCTACCCCGATGAAAAATAAGCTTGTGGCAACACTGGGTAACGATCGCGAGTTAACTCCGTTAAGATACTTGTGCAGCTTTTACACGCGTATCTTAATGATGCTGTTAACTCACTTGTGTCGTAAATATCTATTTCAGGTGCGTGGATGATAGAGGCTTCGAAATCTCAGAATCCAGAACCAGAAACGACATTTTATCTTGTGATCCTTCTCCAAAATCTACCAACTGTCCCTTACTGAATTGCAGAGACGACTGTGAACATGGGTTTGAAATAAACGAACAAGGTTGTAGAACTTGTGAGTGTATCGATCCTTGCACAAAGATATCTTGCAGAGGTACATATTTGTTTCAAGTTAACACTTTAAAGTTTTTGATGAGTTTTTTGGTATTTATTCTACAGGTGAAGGTGAAATGTGCCGGTTGGTTACTGTGGAATGCGTGAATTGGCCTTGTCCATCTGTACCCATGTGTTTGCCAAAGAAAGAAAACCCTTGTCAACATGGTGAACCGCTAAAGTTGAGTTCTACAGACGATTTGTTTACTTGCGGTCCTGAATCAGAAAGTTGTCCGTCTACTCACAAATGTCAGTTGAGTCCTGTAGGAGAATACGCGGTGTGCTGTCCCAAACCAAGTAAGAAAGTCTAACAACTTAACTAATGATTATAGTAATGAGCATATGTATGACCAAGGTCTCCTTGCTCTTGGTCAACGTAGTCTAATAAGTAGGTTTTGGTCTTACTGCTCCACTATTGCAAATCTCCTACAATTTAAAAAGATCTTTACTATTATAGAGGCACTTTCTACGTTAACATTCTAAAGTTTCATCTTTCGTGTTTTTTTTTTGTGAAAATCTATACTTATGCGTCCAGGTGATCCCAGAGTAAATCTACATCGATTTTTTGCCCAAAATTATGATGTAAAACTCCATATGTTATATGAATAAAATGATCGAATATATGATCGAAAATCGAAATGATCGACTAAGAATAAAAACGGCGTCAGAGATAGCCGAGGGGTGTCTCACTATTTGAATTACATGTACATTTTCTTGGCAGTCGCTGGCAGTCATTGGCAGTCTTATGGCAGTATGATCGAAAATCGAAATGATCGACTAAGAATAAAAACGGCGTCAGAGATAGCCGAGGGGTGTCTCACTATTTGAATTACATGTACATTTTCTTGGCAGTCGCTGGCAGTCATTGGCAGTCTTATGGCAGTCGCCTATAATAATTACATGGCAGTCATAGGCAGTCTTCTTCATAGTCATTGGCAGTCGCCTAGCAGTGGAAGGATATTTTGGCAGTACGTGTACATTTTTTACCCGAGTGAGACACCCCTCGGAAATAGCTTTGAAATGAAGATCGCTGTTATTTTATATGTAAAATGACATCGAAAATACCATCGATCGCCATTTTAAAACCAATACCTACACGAAGTTTTTTTCGATCATACCGTATACCGGGTGCGTCTCAAAAGTGGCTCATCCCTACAACTTTTTTATTTCTTCTGATAAAAAAACGAGATTTGGTATGTAAGTATATGACACAAATTAGGATTGATTAACGTCTTCAATTCTTTTCAGTCACTTCCTGTTCCACCGGAAATGACTACAATTTTTGGTTTTTAAATGGCACCCTCGGTATGTTTTTATTTTATTCGATAGAAAATGACACTCTGAATAGAATGACATATCATGGGACAACTTTTAACATTTTCGCTTAAAACAAAGTTGTATTTTAAATTTCAATCTAGAGTGCCATGGCTGTGTTAAAAACACTAACTTTTAATCAAGGAACCTTGGAAAAATAGATTTCATCGTCTAATGTTTTCAGTGTCTTTTCCTGGCCGATTAAAGCTACACGCACACTGGTGCGATCACTCAGCCTTAATTAGCTGCTCTGTTTACTCTATTTCTACATTGCAACAAGAAAAAACACACAAAATAACGGAAAATTCCTATGAGTTGGGTCGCGATCACGTGATCAAACTCGACAAGTTGAATCTGATCGCCACCGCAGAATACAACGCTGCCTGGCCGCTTCGTTTCCAAAACTCGATCGCGCCAATGTGAAACGGCTCATATGAATTCTTCAGCAACTTTTGGCCGCGGCCGCGTGGAGATCGTGATTGTCATTTTCGAAAATGTCAAAAGTTGACATATGATATGTCATTCTATTCAGAGTGTCATTTTCTTTCGAATAAAGTAAAAAAATACCGAGGGTGCCATTTAAAAATTAAAAGTTGTAGTCATTTCCGGTGAAACAGGAAGTGACATACATTATAATTGAAGACGTCGATCAATTCTAATTTATGTTATATACTAACATACCAAATCTCGTTTTTTTAGACGCACCCGGTATAGGAACATGATTGGTTAAATTATTTTGAGTTTTCATTATTTTACAGTTAAGTATTTTTGTTTTGTTTTAGGAGATGTATGCTTTGAACCACTTGATAAAGGAAAATGTTTGGACACAACTCAAAGTAAAAACGAAACAAGGTTTTATTTCAACGCAAAAACCAACAGATGTGAAACCTTTACGTACGCTGGATGCCAAGGAAACCACAACAACTTCCATACAGAATCGACCTGCAATTCTGTTTGCCCAGGTATATATTTATTTAAATAGTAGAACTATTACTTTATCATTCAAATATCATGTCATAAACTTTAAAGTTTAAACAACAGTTGAGAATGTCACGTGAAAAATTGAATTATTGTTGACGCTTCAACTAAGTGACCATGTTCACAACTAATAATTTGGTTCAAAAATTATAGCTATAGTTAAAGTAAAATGTTATCTGATTAAAATCTAAAACCGAGTGTTTTATGAGTGGTTGCCATATTGTTGAAAGTTTCTTAACTCCAAGTTAAACTATTTTGAGAAATTAATATACGAATCTGTACCTTTATAAAAACACTGATTATTACTAATGTTATAATTAATTTTAATTATTGTAGTATTGAGCCAATGCGAGCGTCTGAGGGAAAAGAACCAAAAACAAGCCAAAAGGTACAACAAACCCACTTTTGCACCACGCTGTGATCATGAATCCGGTAATTGGCAGCCAGTTCAATGCTTGGAACATGTCGGTGTCTGCTGGTGCGTCACTCCAAACGGTGAACCGCTCAAAGGAACCTTAACTCGCGGTGCTGAACCAGAATGCAACTTCAGACAAGCTAGGAACAGGGCTAGTAATAGGATGGATGCAAGCGAAGCTGATTTGGGTATGTTCAAATATATGTTTAAACTTTACATCGTCGTTATATAAAAAATAATTACAACTATATAAAATGTAATGATGGCTTTACTCATTTTGTATCTCCTTTTCAGTGCTCGAGGAACTAATGATGCAACTGGGATCTATAGACGAAGAAAGCTCCTCATCTGAAGTATCAATTGACAGAATAGATGTTGACGTTGATTTACCAATAAGCACAAGATGCCAGGCATTAGGTGGCCAATGTGACGAGTCTGGAAAATTCTTGCCAACACAGTGCGAAGACGACACGTGTTGGTGTGTGGATGAAGCTGGAAATCAACTGTCTGGAACTAGCACTTTTGCCAGAGCACATCACAATTGTTGTAAGTGATAAATTAAAGTGTTGTAAAAATTTTACTTTTATTATTTTTTGTGCGGAAAATTATTTTTTCTTCGTATAAAGGTACTGGGTCTGGAGATAGAGACCCATCTACTGACAATTCATTTTCTTCACTTCCAACGACGCGACAGGTGTCTGCCTAATAGGTTTTTCATATACCACACTATTAACTCTGCGAAATAGGAAAAGTAAATTTTCAAAGGAATGCTTGTCAAGAAAATTACTATTTGTATATCTTGAGCATAAACCCTTCAGGCCAACAAGCAATTGTCCTCGCAAAATAAAATCACTATTAACATATCCATTCCTTCTGCTAGCAGAAGGAATTTTTTTCAAAATCTGAGCCAGATAGATATAGGAATCCCTAATATAGTTTGAAAGAGCATTTAAATCTGTTTCGACTTATTCAAAAAAATACATATATAGTGTTGTATTTGAAATAATGAAGTAATGTAAAATAAATATTTAAAATAGACCAGCAATTTTTGATACCCCTGTATACGTTGAAGGAAACAATCAATTTTTTTAATAAGTTTATTTCTGGGGCTTGAAGGTCAGCACAAGAATTAAATCTGAAAAGGAATGTACAGGGTGAGTCAACAATAAAGTAAAGTCCATTATCTCATTTGTTTCGAGGTTTAAAAAAAATATTAAATATAAAAGTTATAGGGACGGTTAAGATATACATTTTAAAATTATTATAGAGTATACAGGTTGCTTCAAAAAAGTGTGGCGACTATAACATATGTTTTTTTTAAATGCAATACCCTATTTTTTATTTTATTTTTAGATTCTGCGTAAAATTTTATAATTTTTTTGTATATAATGTTATATACCTAAAATTAATAGTTTTTGTAATATTTCAATTTGTTTAAACAAATGTTAAATTGCAGTTATAAGTAGTATAAATATCTTTAAATATCTCAAAAACCAAAGCTTTTAAACATATTAAACTGTTATAATAAATGCCTTATTTTATGTCCAAGAATCCAAAAATTACATAAAATACCGGGTGTGTTCCATAAAAAAAAATATAACTTTGGTATGGATCTTAGTTCTGACACACCCTGTACATTTCAAAATAATTTTAAATTATGTACATTGCCTCCCCACATATATCCATAAAATATTTTGTTTCTACATCTTTCCGTTTTCGTATAATCAACCGAGGCGAATGAGGTGCGCCACCCTGTATTATTGAATAATCTCAAAAATGACATATGAATAATCTCTTTGACAGCAAGCCTGATATTCAAGACACTGGATCTTTTGATGGCTTTCCTGGTTTTTTTAAAAGGATTTATAGAATAACTGTGTTCAATATTGCCGAAAAATTTGGTACAATTCTTTTACAACCATTTAGTCCAGCAGAATTAGGAACTAAAAAAAAACTGGGTTGGAAATTGACAATGCCGAATTGACAATTGAACTATTCTACACTTGCATTACTATATATTACACTTAACTATATATCTTTTAGAATAAATTTGTCAGATTAAGAAAAAATATATACTGTTTGAAAGACAATTTTATATTCTTTGAAAAGAGTTTAGAGATATTAATTTGTATTTCGGTTTCTTTGGATTAAAATTATTAAATTAATGCATGCAACAAATTATCGTTTTTTATTACTAAGATGTATGCCATTATTTATTTATTTATTGATTGACAATTAGCTAAAATAAATTTTCAATAATGGGTATGAACCCTCTTGCTCTTACAACATCTCTCATACAGTTTGGCATAGATTCAATCAAGTTTGATATTGTTGCTTGCGGTATGTTAAGCCACTCTTCTTATACTGCAACAATGAACTCTGGGATAGAGGTTGGGGCTCTTTGTCTAGTACGAATACTTCGTTTTAGCTCATCCCATAAATATTCTATCGTGTTTAAGTCTGGACTGCATGCTGGCCATTCCATAACCCGAAAACCGACTTCTGAAATGTAATGCATAAAAGTGAATTCGCTTCCAATGTAGTGGACGTAAGGTACCACATGAACTGCTAAAATCTCCTCAATATACCTAGCACCAGTTAAACCTCCACTCCCGTGCCGACGGTCGTCCCAACGGATAAAAACTGGGTCGGTTCGCGCAGTCATAGAAATTGTACCCCAGATCATGCAGAAACCACCTCCATAAGCAATCCGCTCCTCAATGCAGCATTCTGTGAATCGCTCATCTGCCCTCTGGAACACTTTTCTGCTTCGGTCGCTACCATAGATTGCCATAGAGGCATATCCTTGTCTCATCTGAGAATAAAACACATTCCAATTGTTCTAGTGGCTAATTCAGATGTTCCATGCAATAGGCAGGCGTGTTTGACGATGAGCTAGGGTAAGTTTTACCACTCCTGCAACTCCCAGTGGACGATATGCCAAGAAAGTACAACTTTGACAAACATGTCAATGTAGTATTGAGCAATAAGAAGGATTGGAAGAGCGAAACGCTTGCCCAGCAGTTAAAAGACCATACCATAACTTGGTATACTGATGCTTCCAAAACCAATACGGGAACAGGGATCGGAGTGTTTGGGCCGAGAGCTAATTACTCCGAACCAATGGGCACTTACCCTAGTATCCTACAGGCAGAAATCTACGCTATCGAGAGATGCGTACAACTTATCTTAGATAGGAACTATCGGAAACAAGAAATAGCCATCTTATCTGATAGTCAAGCAGCGTTAAAGGCGATCAACTCAGTATCAATCAATTCGAAATTGGTCAAAGAATGCATAGAGAAGCTGAATAAATTAGGCAAAGAAAACAAAGTCCTCCTACACTGGGTGCCTGCTCACCAAGGGATAGAAGGCAATGAAAAAGGCAATGAAAAAGCAAATAATCTAGCAAGGAAAGGAGCGAACACTCCACTAACTGGACCAGAACCGTTCTGCTTTCCAAGTGGTAACCAACTCAAGGCGGAACCCAAGAGCTTGGAAGATTCCATCCGCAACCTGGAATGGAAATCTTGCAATGGTCTAAGACACTCGAAGAAGTTTCTGAGGGCTTATGATCAAGAAAAATCACAGATCTTCCTGGGTCTGAGTAAGAACAATCTTCGGATTGTCACGGCGTTTTTAACAGGACACTGTCTCCTCAATGAACACCTCAGTAGATTGAAACTAAGAAGAAACGGCGAATGCAGATTCTGTGGGGAAGATGGTGAAACACCAGTACACCTCATCACTGAGTGCGCCGAGACGACAACCATTTGTGCCATGAATTTTGGTACGATTGATATTGGAGATGGAGAACTACCCTCTATAAAACCGTCCCAGATACTGGCTTTTGTCAAAAAGTACAAAGTAACAGTAAAGTAGTAATTGCAATATTTGATAAGTTTTTTATTCTTATTGTCCCCACAACACAAATGCCTTTCATTTGTTTACCCTTTACTACGCTTATAAACGATAAGTACTTTGGATAAATTTATACTCATATTAAAGCATGTTAAATTGTCTTTGAAACAGCTCATATTTTTTTCTAGGTCTGATAAATAGATTCTAAAAGACACAGTTAAAGTCAAAAGTTTACAGTGCGCCGATTTCTATGCACGCAAATTTATATTAATATGAATTTTTTCTTCTATTTCAGCTGCTGTACCACTAGAAAGCGCCGAAGTCATCCTAGGATTCAGGGGTGAATTCGATGACATCACTTCGGCTCCGGTAGTGAACCAAATCACCAGAATAGTGAACAGCCTTAATGGAAACATTAACGATAACGGAATCATGACTGAAGTTACTCCAGATGCTCTTTACATCAAGTTTTCACTGATCGGTGCCAGTAAAGTTGATGTTGCTTACCAATTAGAGCAAATGGTAAATTGGCTAATTAAGGGTGTATTCCGTTGCTTACCTTGGTTATGGTTTTATGTTCCGTTTCTATCGGTTTCCTGAAAGTTTTCTTACTACGGAACATGGTTCCTGAAAAATTCGGTTATAACTGTCACCAAACTAACCAGCAGCGCGAGAAGGCTGGTTTTCTGGTTTTGTTTGTCAATCAATGTCATTTATGTGACGGAAATCAAGCAAATATTGGAAGTTCGAGTGAAATTCTCATTTAATTTCTAAAATTTGTAATAATATTTTGTATTTACATCCAAAAGCAATGGAGGTAGGCTGTAAAGGTAAATAAATTTCATTAACTAAATAGATTGACTTTTTAGGACCACTTAAACTTATCATGCAGCCATTGTTTCTTAAAGTCAGGAACATTTAAAGAAAACATGAAAAACAAGACAACAAGTAGTTGTGAATGTTTTGTAAGCTATATAAATATAAATATTGATTAGATTTATTTATTTATTATTGATCTGTTTTAATATTGGACCTGCAAATCTTCACATGAGCTGTCTAACGAGTTTAACAGTTTATTAATCAAGTACTTTTCAATATTAAACTCCATTGAAAAGAAGAAGCATGCGTAAAAGCAGAGAATCGGTACATTAAAAATGCATGAAAGATAATTTTATAATAGAGGTATTGAAATTTAGAAAACGTTTGACGTTTCCGGTATTTTACCAAACCGTTCCGTATCAAACCGATGTTTTTCAGGAACCGTTCTTTACCGTAGTTTACCGGTCAGGTTCGCCTGGTTTTGCCACGGAATACAGCCTAACTTTAATTTGTTTACTAAAATTTTGATGTTTTTTCGTAGGTTATGCAACAGGCTTTGCCAGGTTTGACAGCGGACATAACTAGATCGAGGGTCATTCACAAGTTACTGTCCCAGGAGGGTATTCTTGGACAAAAGCCCACGGCTGCTGGACATAGAGAAGTCGTGTCACAAGCTCCGGTTTCTGTGATAGCACCATATCACACAGCTTTGATAGTTATAGCTGCTGGTTCAGCTTTTGTGATTTCTGTGCTGACTGTGTTGGTCATATTATATCGTAGGAAGGTAAGAAAGATGTTATAACATATTGTTGCAAAACAAAACGCTCATTCACCACAATACTTAATATTAATGATAGTTTTAATAATTTGCTGATGATACTTGTCAATGTTAACAACTGATAAAACTACTAACTTGAACTATTTTTTCAGATGAATACCCTAAGCCAACAAAAAATCGTCCAAGATACAAGGTTTACACCGAACAACAGACCAATCTACATAGAACTATCCAACGAAAAGTACAATAATATTTCTGCTTCTACAGAGCCAGTGAAAAAACCGTGACCTACGCTACTGCTAAAATCAAAATGATTTTCCTTGTATATTTATGTAAAACTGATATTGGGTTACCGAAATAATCGAAACATTGCCATTTGAACCGTAACTAAAATGATTTTTTTTAAACAATTTAAAAAAATCAAATACTTGTTCTATAACAAATGTAAATGGTATTTTGAAAAAATAAAATAATATTTTTTTTCATAGCTGTTAAAATTGCCTTATATCTATCAAAAATAGTAGATTAAATATTACTTTAACCGCAAGGGTAGATTAAATGATACTTTAACAGCGAGGATAGGTTAAAAACTTTATTTCTTCTCGCACGTTTTTTAATTCCTTTATATATTGCTATTATTTCGTTTTGAGCCATTTCCGGCTCTAATTCAATCAGCAATCGATACGAAAATTAAAAAATATTGACTCAAAACTGACAACTAAAGAGACAGCTTTATTTATTTGTCAAATTACATAGAAACCAACGCCAACCCAGCACAATATTTTTTCTACTCGTAATAAATTCCTTGAAATAATAATTTCTGGAAATGGAAAAAAATATTATTTTATACACGACAATAAAATTGCGTTGTCGTCTCCCGAAATTAATTCACTGAATTCGTGAATTAATCTTTTCGGTCTTGTATAAAAAATAACTATTAATTTATCATATTATATTGTTTTTAATCTGTTATTTTTTAATATTATTAATATATTTGAACAATTTCTCGTTTATTAAAAAGTGTCTGATATAAATGTTTCTGAATATCAATGTTTAATAAAATATTATATGGGCAGGTTTGCAAGTCTATAAAAAGGGCCAATATGGATATTTAACAAAAGCGACTGTTATTTTTTTCTAAACTATATATAATATTAGATCTTTAGGTTATTTTTATACAAATATTAGCAACTTAAGTTTGATTTAATAAATACATCTTGTACATATACAATATTTATTAACTAAGTACCTATGATATACCTTAAGAATACACTATTTTTAGTTATATTTAAAGCTAGATAGGTATTATATGTAATTAAAATAAGTGTAAATTTTATATATTGCTTTTTACAGTTATTGAAGTAAAATAAAAAAGTTAAATACCTTCTAAAAGATTATTTATTTATTTATAATTACAACACCTATATATAAAATCACTATTTAGTTTTGATCTTATTTTTCTTTTTCAAAGTATTCTTGACAAAATTAAATAATTTAATATATACTAGTACTATAAAGGTAATGAGTACTATAAAGGCAGATATTACATCTAAGAGAAAATATTTGTACCATACTATGTCCACTGTTGGGCTTCTCAAATGTCTTGTTCCTTTATTTCTAATGATATACTCCGACCACCAGATGGCACGTTCTAAGCCTGTCATTGGCTCGTCTCTAAGTAGGGTTCGTAGTTTCTTCATATTTTCTCGATATCTATAAAAAAAGAGTGGCAGAGAGTTATATAAAAAATTCCAAAAAAATAAGAAAAAAGTGTCATGTAATATTTTGGGTGACATTTCTGTCAATGATGGGTCTTCAACAAGTTCAAGCACTCAGGAAATAAATTTACTTTCTAAAAATTCAACTCACCTGTCATCGTCTGGAATTAATTTAACCAATTGTACTGATATTATAATTAATATTTACAATAAATAAACGTATTTAGGTACCTTTTTTTGCTTGTTTCTTATTTTAAAATTTGCGTGTTATTATGAATTCATAATATGCATATTATGCACTAATAGACTTGATATGTCAACTTTTGACATTTTCACATATGGTTTATTTGAAATTGTAACAGGTGGTTCATAACGACAATTTGACTCGAGATACCAAATGTTTGGTACCAAATTATTAGTAAAAAAATGCTTTTTTCCAAATATACTAATGAGCCATCCTTGTTCCATTTGAAAAAATTGAGATATGATTAAAATACGATTTGGGCATCTTTTAACCGGCCAGAACAAGACACGAAAAATATTAGACGATTAAATCTATTTTTCCAAGGCTTCTTGATAAAAACCAGTGATTTTAACACAGCCATGGGGCACCCTAGATTGAAATTTAAAATACGATTTTTCAAGCAAATATTTGGATAATGCCAAAAGTTGACATATGATATGTCATTCTACTCAAAGTCTTATTTTCCATCGAATAATGTAGAAATATACCGAAAGTGCCATTTAAAAATCAAAAGTTGTAGTCATTTCCGGTCAAACTGGAAGTGATCAATACGTCAATCAATCCTAATTTATGTCATATACTAACATACGAAATCTCGTTTTTTTTTATCCAAAAAAAGGTATACGGGTGAGTCACTTGTTTAAAAAAATTAAAAACTTGTTTGACTAAGGTTATATGATTGATTAATCCTTACTTGGGATTTTCTGCAACATCAATAATACTGTCGATCAGCTCTTGTTTGGTGGTATTCAAATAATCAATATGCCTTCCAACTCCAAATTCATGCAAATTTTTAGCATTAAGTTCCTGATCTGCAATAAATGGAATCACTACCATTGGCACAACACGATCTATAGCCTCCTCTGAAGACTGCAAACCTCCTTGAGAAATAAAGACCTTCACATTGGGATGAGCTGAAACATTACACTTAAGTGAGAGCCGAGGTGAGAGCGCCCACCAAAGTGACGTAGCATCTGACGTGGCACGTAGTCTGGCAAGTAACATGCATCTAGCAAGTTACGTCGAATTGAACAAACGAGAATAGCTTATTTCGGGTTTCTCTTATTACCGATTCTGAACCGTCCTAGAACTGTGATGCGTATGCGCAGAAGGAAATATGAAGACATTATTTCATTTGCGCATGCGCTGCAGAGTTCTAGGACGGTTCAGAATCGGTAATAACGAGAACCCGAACAAAGCTAATAAATGTGTCAGCGCACACTGAAGTAGCGCTGTCAGAAACGTGTCATTTGTCGGTGTAGCATGCTGCTACACCGACTGCTAGCTATTTTATGGCAAATGCTGAAGCTCTGCAAACCTTGATAAAGTCTTAATCTAAGCACGTGTGTTTGGAATTTTGGGTGTGGCTTAACATGACAGGATCGGGCTAAGCATTAGGCAAATTTCTGAAATATAACATATATTTCCTTGGGCCACATACCCGCTTTACGCGATCCCTGAGAGCGACCCCAACAGTACAGCTTAATAGACTCTAATACATTATGAGATATTCTACCTAAAATGTCTTGTTGTGGAAGCCATTTTTTAATAACAACGTTACTGGGCTTTCCAGGTAGTTCTTCTTTTTCAAATTTCCACAAAACTTTGTAAGGAAGTCCTCGAAATACGTCCATCAACAAGTTTCGAACTCTCTGGGGTATGTTCATGCTTTTAACGTTGGATCCTAAACTGAAATATACCAGTCCATTCTTTGCGCTCTCTATTTCATTTTTAATATCCTAGAAATAAATATAAATTGAAACTTTAAAAATCACAATGCGAGATCAAGACTTCTTTTTCTTGATCTTGCTGATCAAGACGAAGACTAGTCTATGTTTGTCTGCTATGCAAAGCGTGAGCGTGTATGTGCAACTTTAAATTTATATGTAGGTATATTGCACATAAGCAAATAACTTTTTAGAGAAATGCTAAATCAAAAAGAATACAAAAAACTTATTAAAAAAATCATTACTAAAAAAGTTATTTTCTATTTTGTTTTACGTACTTGTGGTAATGGTTTTGGTGGTTGAATGTGCATAAACACCAAAGGTACTACTGTAGGTACCATGGGTCTTGGAGTGTACAGAATAGGGTTGATATTTAAGAACAGTGCACTGATATTTCTTTCGATATCAGCTAAATAGGGCAAGTCGTTACCTAGGTATTTCCTAGCTACCTTATCACACTTGGGCATTGCTACAAAATTGACGTACAATCTTGACCAAATAAAGTACAGAGTGCTTTTGAATCTTTCGTAGAAGCTAAAAATAAAAAAGTAATAGTGAATAAGGTACTTGATAATAATTCGTATAACATTAAATTCAGACATCAAAAAAATATATAAAAATTTATTAAGACTTTGTAGGAATACAATGTCTTTGGAAGAAATTTTACTTTTTCCTTATTTTATTTTACTTTTTGTGTTAAAATTATCTTTTATATATTTGCCCAAAAAATTTTCGAAAATATATACTAAGACATTCATAAAATATAATTTTCTGAGTATTTTTTTTGGAAAATTATTTAAATGGCTTTATTTTTCTAGAAAATCAGCTCACATAACCTCGTTCTAGAGCGTTTAAATTTCTTAAGTGGATAAATGCATCTAAAGTATCAATGTAATACATGCTAAATCCACAAACACATCTATACAGGGTGGCGCATCTTATTCGCCTCGATTGATTATACGAAAACGGAAAGATGTAGAAACAAAAAATGTTATTGGTATAACATGTGAGAAGGCAATGTGCATAATTTAAAGTTATTTTGAAATATACAGGGTGATTCAGAACTGGTGTTCCATACGAATATTATATTTTTTCTTATGAAACACCCGGTATTTTATGTCATTTTTGGATTCTTGAACCTAAAAAAGGTATTAATTATAGGGGTTAAATATGTTTAAAAACCTTGGTTTTTGAGATATTTAATCATGCATGCTACAATAGAAAATATTATTATTAACACACTCTACATTAGATAGAGAGATAAAGGTAGAGAAATAAACTTTACTGAAAAATTTGACTGCTTCCTTAAATGTATACAGGGGTACCAAAAACTTCGTTATTTCAAATACAATAACCTCTATTTTAAAATAAATCGAAGCAGATGACCTTTCTAGCTCTGATTTTGAGAAAAAAATACAACTTTTCAATAAAATGGCAATCAAGGGGGCTGGTGTTGCGATGGCAATTTTCTAGTGACACTTAGTTGCTATTTATTTTCAAAATCGACATTAGTTTATGGACTTTATTTAAAGCAATTTCCTTTAATTTAATTTATCTTTTTTTCCTTTACCTGAGCTCTCCATTATATGGCAAAAACATTTCCGAATACATAGAAGGCAGTGAGGGATTTCCAATAGCATAATGCGTACCAATCCAGCCACCCATAGAAGATACCCCAATGATAGGAGCGTTGAATTTTGCAGATAGAGCTAACATAATGGGACTCACATAGATTTGAACTATAATTAAATCAAACTTTTCATCTGGATTTGTATAGATTTTCTTAAATTGTTCATTTTGGAAAATCGCATGAGCCAAATCATAGTACATAGCGAAAATTTTAGGAATTTTGGTTTGGACTGCTTTCTAAAATTTAATAAAAATTAATAGCTAGAATAAAAACGACGTCACAGTTGGCAAAGAAATGAAACTCCTGTTTGAGCTTTTTTATGCCTATTACAGAAGCTCTTCATCAATGATAGGGATAACTGATGATCGTCAGGTATTTAAAGTACTTGTTTAACATCTAGGTATCATACATAATATAAAGAAAACTATACAGAATTGTATTAAATACATTTGAATAAAAGGACTGCCAACAGTCGCTGCCAATTTTCCACTATTAGACTTCTCAGACATAGCTACACTCACAGAAATAGCATTCCTATGCCTACTGTGACGTTCTTTTTTTCCAATTTTTTTTCAATGAGTTTAAATAATGAGTTTTTTACCTCTTTGGACATGAAAAATTCAAATCCATGACCGTTGATTATATCATACGTGTGACTTGTGTCGATTTCAGTCAGATTTGTTAAAGTAGGGTCATTTATAGGACGAGGTGTTACAGTAATAACCTCGTGTCCCCTAAAACAATGGAAAAATATATAGGGTGTCCCAGGCTGAGCGTCCATTAGAAGTTTATAGATGATGATCATTGTTTTACGAGATCTATCGATTAAATATATTTTCAATATGGCGGCACTTCCGGAAATACCGGAAGTTGACAGCAACTTTCTTATTTTAAACGGGTGCCCCCGTTTTTATAGCATAATTAAATTCTTTGGAAAATTTTATGAATTTTGATATTAAACACCATATACCTAACATTTACCGTTTTTGAGAAAAAAAAATATTTAAAATTTTTGGACGAAAAAAACTGCCTGTCAGAAAAAATTGTATAGCCTAAAAAACAAACCTGTGATTACGACAGCCACTATGACATAAAGAGAAGACATGTTACTATTTCAGAAATTAAATTGTTCGAATGTCATACAATAATGGCGGTAGCTGTCATGGAATTGAGCTATTAAAAAATTATCATATCACATTTTTTTCAAATTGAAACCGCTTCAAAAATTTAAAATTTTTTTTTTTTCAAAAATGGTTAATGTAAGATATAGAGTGTTTATCAAAATTCATAAAATTTTACGGAGAATTTAACTATGTAATCAAAAATAGGGGCATCCATTTAAAATAAGAAAGTCGCTGTCACCTTCCGGTATTTCCGGAACTGCCGCCATATTGAAAATATTTTTAATCGATAGATCGTGTTGTGAAACAATGATGTGCAAAAAATCTCCAATCTAGATGTTGTAGTTCTATAGAAACTTCTAATGCACGCTCAGCCTGGGACACCCTGTATATTACGACAGAGTAAAGTCATCTCATTTGTTTGGATGTTTATAAAGAAATGTCAAATATAAAAATTAAAAGATAAGTTACGATCTTTGAATAAGAAGACTAAGGAAGGAGCATAATGCTATCCATGTATTCATGCATGGTGGGCGGAAAAGCCACCATAAAAGCTCTCTAGGGTGGGGATCCTTGACAGTTCTGTTTGACGATTCATTTGACACATTTGAATTTGATTTGAAATTTTGTGGATTTGTCAGTCTTTATGGAGCTTATTTTATGTTATTTATTATTTATTCTACTACTGATAGTTGTATAAGGTAGTAAATCTAGATGGAAATTGTGGCAGAACTTAAATTAACAGTGACACTATCGCGATTTATCGAAAAAGACTCTAAAATAATTGGTTGTGTAGCGTGCGGTAGATCTCGGCAAAAATTGAATGAAATTGAAAGTGAAATAATGGAACAACTTTTCGCTAGTAAGTGACTATATAATATACATACGTGTAGTAAACCGATCATTTATGAAATTCACTTATATTAACTCAATTATATATTTTTCTTGCATTTTAGCTTTTATTTATTACTTGTCAAAGATTAGATGTCAAAGAATTTAGATACGTTAATTTGACTTATCTGCTTCAGTAGCGTATCGGATGTTTGTGTTAATAAATACTTATTATAACTTATCTATTTTTATTAGAATTATATATTTTTATAACAATTTTAATAACTACCAACATTTATTCACAACGTAAAATAAAACAACAAAATTGAGTCTACCCCACGTCTACCCTACATCATAGTTTTACATTTTTTAAATAAAATTAGAACGACACTGATAAACCGGAATTTAAGTCGGCCATATTTGAGGCCCATCGCGGTGTACCTAAGATTTTTGATATGCTCCTTCCTTGGTCTTCTTATTCAAAGGTTACGATACACATTTTAAAATTATTAGAGAGTATACAGGGTGCTTTAAAAAAGTGTGGCGAATATAACATATTTTTTTAAACGCAACTCCTTTTATTTTTTATTTTATTTTTAGATTCTGCAATAACTTTTTTGTATATAATGTTATAAACATAAAATTAATAGTTTCTGTAATATACTATTTCAATTTGTTTAAACAAGTGTTAGGTTTCAGCGTGTTAAAAAATTGTCAGTGAAGTCATTGCTTCTGAAGTTGGAGCAAGGGCGTAGATAAGGGGGGGGGGTACTGGGGGACAGTACCCCCCCCCCCTGACGCTTGACGAGATACGAGAATTGAAATAGTCATTGACTATGAAAGGATTTTTTTTAATTAATATCCGACATATAAGAACACTTTGTATGCTTTTAATTATGTTGATTTATCGTTCATAATATGTTTGACCTAATTAAAAGCACACAAAATGTTCTTATTAACCAGTTCTCCATCTCAGATTAGTGGGGTTAACTATAATTAATATCCATAAAGATATTGAAATAAATGTTGATGCTGTTATTGATAGGTTTTCCAAACAGCGTACTAGAAAACTTGATTTTTGTTTTGTAGTTTTATTTATAGTTTATAGTTTTTCATAGTTTTTTTGATAGTTTAGAGTTTTCTAATAAACGTCGTTGTTTCATTTTTGTTTCTGTTATTTACAAATCTATATTTTAATTTTTGTGTTATGTTTTTATATCTTTTTGAAGACAGAAAAATCGCCGTCGTTTTAGTTCGACAAAAAAAATCCGAGGGTGATTTTTTTTGCGACTTAATCATAGTACCACCCCCATAGCATACACCTATCTACGCCCCTGAGTTGGAGTACTATAATTTGTTAGGGTAGTTTTATACAGATGAAGGGTTTTTAAATTATATTTATGAATTTCAACTACTTAAAATTAAAAAATACCAAATTTCTTAAATAGCCTAAAATCGAATATTTCCTGTAACATACAGAGTGACCTATCGAAAACGTTCCGCAAGGCATAACGGCCAGGGTAATTTTTTTTTCAGAAAATTCAAAAACACGTCAATTTTGTTTGTGAGAGAGACAACTTTTGCCCCAAAAATGATTGCAAAATCTTTAACCCTCTGAGCGGGGGTGTCATCCCCCAATTTTTTTCAATTGGGAAGGGGGGTCAAGTGGTACCGCAATGAAAAGGGCTTTCTATTATTTATACTTTCTCGCTTCGTTTTTGAAAATCGTCATCATCATCAAAATAGTCATTGAGAAAATATGAAGGTTTGAAATTTGAAAAGTTTATTTAAACATTTATCAGAGTAAATGATGAGGATAAATTCCTTCGACCAATTTGCTGTTTCTTGTTATTATTTCTAGATGTTTTCGCATTTTTTCACTTGCCACAAGGTTGAACGATCAGGTGCGGTAGTTAATAGTAATAGTTAATAGCTAGATAGCTGTTCTGTGACTTGTGCGTTGAGGTTCTTCTCAATACCGTTAAACTTTTTAACAATTATGGTGTACTCACTTGCAGAAAAATTTCAATCCTTCATATTTTCTCAATGACTCGACCGATTTTCAAAAACGAAGCGGGAAAGTATAGATAATAGAAAGCCCTTTTCATTGCGGTACCACTTGATCCCCTTCCCATTTGAAAAAAATTGGAGGATGATGTAACAGATTATTTCCTATATATTATTATTTATATTATTAACAGATTATTTCCTATATCCTTTACGTTCAAGTCGATGTTTTCGGTTATTAGTTTCGGGAGAGGGTCTTTTAGCAGGAAGTAATAAAACAAACATCTTTCAAACGTGACTATTTTTAAATTCCCAAACTTATAGAAGGGCAAAGCAAATAAACTGTAGAACTTAGAAGTAAACAGAAAATTGTAAAGATAGACCTTAGATAAAAACCCTGGGACATTGTAAAACCAATTATCACCCTTGATAACATGTAACTATCACCGGATGTTTGTAAAGGATCTGGGAACTTTAGGAAAACACGTATCTAGACGTAGACTAGGATAAATACGTAAAATGGTCATAGTACTGCCATCTAACAACAGGTGGTCGAACCAATTTGGTTTGAAGGGCGGTGTCAAGCTGACCAATCAAGCAAAGAACAGTACCTTTAGGGATGATCCTATTGGCGAAGTACCTAATGCACCACCCTTCAACCCTGTAATGTTGGAACCTCGAAGCTGTTTTTAGGCAGAAAAGTTAGTTCGGTTTAAGTTTCTAAAAGAGACGGTTCTCTCTCGGGTTCGCGAAACTTTGTAAGGTTCACGATGTGACCCCTTGTAGTTTTTAAGTCTGGTGTCTGCTAATAGTATTTTTTTATGTCCTTTTGTCAAATGTTTTTAATTTTCTTCTCTAAAATTAATTTAATGTGTTGTAGTAAGATTTAGTAATGAAGGTTCAATTGTTTATGTAATTATCAGATTTTTCAACAAAGCAGACACCAGACAATTTTCTTGTATTTTTCCATCTCTTTTCCATTTTTAGTAATAACAAGTAATTTCGATCAGATATATATATTTTTATTTGTTCTTTATTTTCTTTTTAATATTAAATTTAAATGTTTTCTAAAAACTCGGCCGTTTTATTTCTATAGTAAAAAATAAGAGTGTTTTAAAAGTATATAAATAAGATCCTTATGAACGGGTTCGCGAAACTCGAATATCTCCAGAGCAGTCCCGAAAAGTCTCGAGAAATGAGCTACATATTTACAGACAGAGGTCGGGCCGCAATTAAGGTAAGTTATAATAAATTTGAGAGACTAACAGCACTAAGACAAAGCATTAAACATACGCTCCAAAGAGTCGATGTACTTCTTATCCAAGTTTGCCTTCCGCTCAACTTAATTGTTTTTTCATAATTATAAAATAGTCACTCTACCCATAGACAAGTGATTGATCCGTAAAGATTTGTCACAATGACACTCCCGCTCAGAGGCTTGAAGATTTTGCAATCATTTTTGGGGCAAAAGTTGTCCCCCTCACAAACAAAATTGACGTGTTTTTGGATTTTTTGAAAAAAAATACCCTGGCCGTTATGCCCTGCGGAACGTTTTCGATGGGCCACCCTGTATACAATACAATAAGATACTTACCTTAGAGATAAAGCTCTTGCTATTGGTTGAAACGTTGCCTGATGGCTCACAGCGGGCATTTGAAATATACATAATATTCTTGCACTGTAACACTCGTTTACACTTAAACTTAACAATCCAAACACTAACAATAAGTACATTTTTCTAAGAAATCTTATCATTTACTAACTTGTTTCTATACATTTGCCGCATTATTATCAAATATTCATTAGGAACTATCTGAATTGATGAATACAGCCGACCATGTCTATACTGATCTTGTTTTTATTATGCCTACATTAATTTGTAATCTTGTTTAACTGTAATTTGTCGTTGGCTTGGAATGAACTCAGTCAAGTCTCAAAATGGTAAACAGTGTTGTGATTCGAAGGTTATCATGCTGTTTGTTTTTTTGTTGATGGGAGTATAAAACTGTCTAGCATTTAAATTGAAATTCATCATAGATTTAACTACTGGAAATAAAATACAGGGTGGGCCACTGAAAACTTGCAATGGCTTTTTACACCAAAAAAGATATCAAAAAAATAAGAAATACCGTTTCTATAATATCGAGGGGGAACACATATGACGTATTTTTTTAACTACCCCGACTTACGCCTTTGGTGGCACCCCTACTCACTTGAAAATCTTAAATGGCAACACCCCACTGGTTGGGCCTTTTTGAAAAGCCCATGAAAAATGCTAAACGATGGTCATAAAGTTTTTAGGGTGAAATTGAAAATCTACCCCTTACACGAAAAATTACGTGGATATTAATAAAAAAAGTGATTTTTTATACCCCACTTGTGACACCTCTTTAGAAAGCTTATAAAAAATGCTGAGCGGCTGTTATAAAAAAGAACAAAAAAAATGGAGCTAAAAATAAAAAAAAATGTCAAAACGTGTCAAAATCAATAGAATGAATTATTTTTGTATCCATGTACCATTTCGAGCAAAAAAAACTGATATTATCCAAGGCAATGGATTGGCAGAAGGGGTCCAATCGAGTGGGCGCCAAGGTCACCTGATCTCACTCCTTTAGACTTTTTCTTGTGGGGAATCCATAATCTACAAAACAAAACCAGGTTCGTTGCAAAAATTGCGACAGAGGATAACTGGAGCCATGTCGAAATATTCCGAGAGAGACTTTCCAAAAAGTGAGAGAAGAATTTGAAAATCGTTTGTATTTTTGTATAGAACAAAATGGCTGTCATTTTGAGAATTTTTTTAAAATAAATCATCATTTTAAATTTCTTTCAAATTGTCACATCTACATTTCTTATCACTACTTACCAGTAATTAAGTTGAAGTCTGTATGACCATCGTTTAGCAATTTCAATTAGCTTTCCAAAGAAGTGTCACAAGTGGGGTATCGCTATTTTGAGATTAGAAGTGAGGGGGTGGCACCTAGGGGTGGGCCGGGGCGGTTTGAAAAATACCTCATTTGCGTCATTTAGCTGGGTTCCAATTTATAACTTATGCTGAAAAAATCACTTATTTCATTAATGTCCATCTAATTTTTCATACATATGTGAAATTCTACTTCGAAAATCAAACACCATCATTACTACATCAAAAACCTAACTTTATTTTTTAAAAAAATATATGTATAATACTAGATCTTTTACTTATTATTATAAAGTTCAGCAATTTAAAATGTATTAATTATACACCGTATGATCGAAAAAAAAACGGCGTCAAATGACAATCGATGAGAATCTTGATATTAAATACTCTATAGCAAACATTAATCGTTTTTGAGAAAAAAAAATATTAAAAATTTTTGGGCGATAATTTTTAATAAATTGACATAAAACTTGTCAAAAATTAACCATTTTTAGTCAATATAAAAATAAATTACAACCTTTTTAAGGCCAACCGACAGTAAGCGCCATTACAAAATAGAGGTACGGAACAAGTAAATAACATCTAGGGCTTGACGTCGCCAAAATTATCAGCGATTGTCATTTCCCAGCTGTCCATGACGCCGTTTTTTCGATCATACAGAATTATTATTATTTCGTATACAGCACATAATATACAGTAGTTTTTCAACTTAAGTACGGTAAATATACATATGACACTATTTTTATTCAAGATTCTAATACATAATATTATTTATTCATATAGCTATATACATGGTGTCCCAGAAATAAGTGCAAGTATTTTAAGTGGTGGTAGATCTCGATAAAAGAAGAATATTTTCTCTTTAGCATTTTTCAAATAAGTCTAAAATAACGGAGTTATTTTACTTTGAAAATTTCCAAAAAAATGATTTTTTGCTCTAAAGTTTTGAGAACCACTGGATCTTTTCTGGATTTTGTTTCTTGTAAATTTAATCTAATACCTATGTTGTCATATTATCAAGAAATTATGTTTTTTAACTAAAAACTAAAAAAAAATTCTCAGAAATTTTTCGAAAAATTTTGAATTTTCAAAAAAGATTTTTCGCGAAAAAAAAACTCATAGGCGTGTTTCTGGGGTTGAACTTGAACTATACTACCAGTTAAAATACTTGCACTTATTTCTGGGACACCCTGTATAAAATAAGTGTAAATCTATATGGCTCACAGTTACAAAAGCAAAATAAAAAACATACTTTCTATAACCTTGTTTTACTAAATTATTATTAGATATACAGGGTGAGTCTAAAATAAGTGCAAATATTTTCAGAGATGCTAGATTCTCTTTACCATTTTTCAGATAAGTCCAAAATAACAGAGTTAATTTAAAAAAAAATATTTTTTTTTAAATTTTGAGAGCTACCGGATTTTTTCTGTATTTGCATCCCTTTTAGTGCTGTAACCATAGAGTAAAGCCGTAACTATGGTAATATGAGAGATTAAGAAATTATACCTTGGGAAATTTGCGGTGAACAGGCAGTTCTAAAAAGTTTTCGAAAAATATACAGGGAAATTTAAAAGAAAGTGCACGATTTTCAACATCTTTTTTTGCGAAAAAACCTCATAGACGTGTTCTAGGGTCGAAATATACCACCCCTGAAAATATTTGCACTTATTTAAGATTCACCCTGTATTATATCCTGCTAAATTCTATAACACAGCTAGTTACATCTTTTAAAAACTAGATACTATTTGGTTTTGATCTTTTCCTTCTTTGTCAAACTATTTTTTACATATTTAAATAATTTAATAAGTACCACTAATATAAGGATAATTATTCCTACAAATGCAGATACTACATCCAAGAGAAAGTATTTATACCATGCTATATCCACTGTTGGACTTCTTAAATGTCTGGTTCCTTTGTGTCTAATGACGTACTCTGACCACCAGACAGCACGTTCTATGCCTGTCATTGGCTCGTCATTAAGTAGGTCCTTCAATTTTTTCATATTTTCCCGGTACCTGCAAAATAAAAGATTTCGTTAGCACCACATTACATCGGAATGATACAAAATTCAATTGTACAGGGTGTGTCAAATTGGACGCTTTTAAAACACCCTTTTCTATATGAGATAGACGAAAACTAATATGGGTGTCTGGAGCTCAATTTTCATCAAAAACATGATGGTGAAAACCGCACATCGATATCTTTACCGTTACCGTTTCGGAGTTACAGGGTGTTTTTCAAAAATGTGCATTTTTAATAAGTCGCTATAACTTTTTTGCTATGGAAAATTTTGTATTTTTATGAAAATATTTCCAAGACACCTTTTTACGTAGAATTTAATAGTTAAGTATATGTTTTTTTTTAATTAATAATTTAAGAGTTATCAACAGAAAAATTGATTTTTTATTTGGGACGCCCTGTATATTTTTAATTAACTGAAAAGAAATTAAAATTACCTTTCCAAAAATATAGCACACTTGATATTTTGTTATAATCCCCTTCAAAGTGCTGAATTTTTAAAAGTTCGCCACTTTAACTAGTAGGCTTTGGACCCCTTATTGATGGATATGCCTAACCTAATCTAATGGAACTCGAAAATATATTTTTCCAGCAATACGAGGCACCGCCTTAGAACGCTGAAGTTATCAGCAAATTTTTGGAGCCAATTTCAAGAATAATTGAATAGCTACCAAACCAAACCAAGATCTCAGCCTTTGGCCCTCGAGGCCGCCGGACTTAATGCCTATGATGGATCTAATTCTGTGGACATCTTTGCGGAAGAATAAATTCATTCTTATTTTTAAATTGTCCGTATAATCTAGACAAGAACTAGAAATACTTAGCAGTTATGAGAGGGTATCTTTCATCCCCACTGAGTTAATGAATTCCGCGAGAAATGTTCAAAAACGGCCCCGTCTGTCTATAACAGCACCTCTAGCAAAATCTCATGTCTTGGTTTGCTATTTATTTCTATTGTTATTAGATTTAGTTTAAGCTTGTTGATGTTGGTTAAATATAGTTTAAATTGTTAGAAAATTCTGCTCTCATTGCAAATATTATTTTCGTTTTAATTGATGCTCACAGCTAGAATTTTTTTGCATTTCAGCCGGCGCCGTTCAAAGCCTACTTATTTAAAGTGGGCGAATTTTTATAAACTCTATATCTCGAAGAAGAATCGAGTAAAATATCAAGTGTGCTATATTTTTGGAGACTCGTTGAGATACTCGTCAGCGAGTAATGGCAGTAGTAGTAGTAGTAGTTGAGTATACCTGAATTCCTCAGATTATGATAAAATGTTAGTTAGACTTCCTGATCATGATCATGATTTGAAACACTATATCAAATAGAAACAAATTATAAAGATGTTAAAGAAAGAGGTGTAAGTATAGAAGTATCTTACTTGGGATTTTTTGCTACATCAATGATACTATCAATGAGTTCTTGCTTAGTCGTATTCAAGTAATCTATATGCCTTGCTACGCCGAATTCTTGCAATTTCTTTCCATTAAATTCCTGATCTGATATAAAAGGAATTATCACCATTGGAACACCACGATCTACTGCTTCCTCTGTAGACTGCAAACCGCCTTGAGAAACGAATACCTTAACATTCGGATGAGCTGAAATAATATGCTTAATGTTAAACACTTACTAAGATGTACAGGGTGAGTCAACGATATAGTAAAGTCCATTATCTCATTTGTTTCGAGGTTTACAAAAAAATATTAAATACAAAAGTTATAGAGATGGTTAAGATACACATTTTAAAATTATTATACAGTATACAGGGTGCTTCAAAAAAAAGTGGCGAATATAACATATATTTTTTTAAATGCAACACCCTATTTTTTATTTTATTTTTAGATTCTGCGTAAAATTCCATTACTTTTTTATATATAATGTTATATACCTAAAATGAATAGTTTTTGTTATATTTAAATTTGTTTAAACAAATGTTAGATTGCAGTGGGTTAAAAAATTGTCAATGATGGCATTGATTCTGAAGTTGGACAACTAAAATTTGGTACGAGAATTTTATAGAGATATAGAAAAAGACCTATGTAAAGATATTTTAGTTAGATGTTACAGGGTGTTCAAAATATATTTAGGAATTTCAACTAATTAAAATTAAGGAATTTCAATTTTTTTAAATGGTACACCCTATATATTATCATTTTTTCTGATAGATTTTACCAAACTCTTCAACTTTTGTTAAGAATGTCATATACCTATTTTTATTAGTTTGCGATTAATTCCTATTTTTTCTATTTTTACCCATATTTTTAATACAATTGCGCTATAACATCATAGTTGCCATGACAAAAGTAATAATTATGACAATTTCAAGTCTGTTAAGCAAGTTAAGAACAAAATTTGAATTTTAGTTTAATTTGTTGTAATAAGTATAAATGGTAGAGATAACAGATTTTCTTGAAATGAATTAGTCAATGTGAATGATATACACGGACAAGCTTAGAAAACCACATTTTTTGGTTCAGTACTATTTATTATATAGTACTTTGCTAACTACTATAAGGATAGATGTATATTATCTAGAAAATATCTTCAGTGTGTAATGGGACGGTTTCGTGGCAGTAGTAATATTGGTTTTACCAAATGAATTATAAATCAGAATTACTACGAGAAAAAAACTATACTGTATGTCGAAGAAAATTCATATATCAGTAGTCTTTAGCAATTAGGTAATCTAATATTATTACCCTAATCTGTGGCTATTCGCCCCGACAAAAAATCCCAAGTGTCATCTTTCATAATATAGAAATACACCAAGAAATTCGCTACTGCGATTTAGTTTATTTGAGTAAAGTTAATTAATTTTAACTAATACCAGCAATTGTAACTAATTATGAAGGTACTTGTTAAAGGTAAGTAATAAATAGTTTTGTTTTGTCATGGCAACTATGATTTTATAGGGTAATTGTATTAAAAATATGGGTAAAAATAGAAAAAATGGGAATAAATTGCAAACTATTAAAAATAGTGATATAGGGTATTGCATTTAAAAAAAAACATATGTTATAGCCGCCACACTTTTTTGAAGCACCTTGTATACTCTATAATAATTTTAAAATGTGTATCTTAACCATCCCTATAACTTTTATATTAAACATTTTTTTGTAAACCTTGAAACAAATGAGATAATGGACTTTATTCTATCGTTGACTCAGCCTGTACATTTTAAGTGATGTAATAGAAGTATTTATTCATTATCCATTAAATTTTTATATCACAAATAAAGATGTTGAAAACCTTTCATTTTCTTTTGAATTTTTCTGTATATTAGAACTGCCTGTTCACCGCAAATACAGGCAAAAACCGGTGGCTTTCAACATTTTCTAACAATAATTACATTTTTTGAGTAATCAATTTTCGAAATTGAATAACTCGGTTATTTTTAACTTATTTGAAAAATCGGTAAAGAGAAAATATGTTTCTTTCATCGAGATCTACCAGCCTTGAAAACATTTGAACCCTCTATTATATTAAATTTCATACCTAAAACGTCTTGTTGTGGAAGCCATTGTTTAATCACAACATTACTGGGTTTCCCGGGTAATTCTTCTTTTTCAAATTTCCACAAAACCTTGTAGGGGAGCTCTCGAAACACGTCCATCAACAAGTTCCGAACTCTTTGGGGTATATTCATGCTTTTAACGTTTGAGCCTAGACTGAAATAAACCACTCCATTCTTCGCACTGTCCATTTCTGCTTTAATATCCTAGAAACAAAATTTCTTGAAAACCCAAGTAATTTAGTATTTTCATTACAGCAAAATAAAACACCACAATACACCAAAACACTTTTGTTTTGATTGTGGTGAATTAGTGTGTAATTGTACTGTTGTAACATCAAAGGTTCCAAACACCAACTGTAATTTATATCATTTAAATAATATACGGTATGTCACATTAAAAAACATAAGTTTGAGTCATATTTAAACTTTCTACGTGAAAAACTCTATGGAACTCAGTTTTCACATTTTTGATAAGTTATAAGATATCTGAGAAGAACGAAAATTTTTCAAATATCCTTATATTTCAGGAAATAAGAGTTAGAACAGATCTGTGTGTAGCATCCCTAGAGTATCATAAAAAAGTAGCTCAGAGACTCTGACGCTATTTTTTTTTCGATCATATTGTATATTTTTAAATTATTTTTACTTTCGATTTATTTCTAGGCTATCTTAATAAGTTTCAATATTTTTCTCATATTTTTATTCTTTTTTGTAGACCTGGATGATAAACACATTCCATACATTGACGAGCGCTCACTATAGATACAGAGTGTTTTCTATGATAATAATAATTTATAACTATTTAGATGTTGACTTTCCATTTATTTATCATTATTTTCATTATTATCATTATCTTGTAAAAGAAAGCCAAAGCATAGATAGAAACATTTGAGCCACAGAGTACTAAAATTTAACAACAATGTCAAATCTTATAATATAATCGAAAATGAATCTTTTTTGAAAATAAAATGACGCTACTGGTTTGCATAAATTTGGGTTTTTATTATTTGCTTTTTTTATATTCTTGTACCATTTTAATACAATATTAATTTATTATCTTATGATATTCCTTATTCTCAAGACTTAAAGATGCTATTATATTTTTTTGGTATTACTTCTTGATTTACGCACTCTCTAAAATATGATGTTTATACCGTGTGATCGAAAAAAAAACAGCGTCAGCGATGGCTATGAAATGAAGATCGCTGTCATTTTATATGTAAATTTATATGGGAAAAGTCATCCATCGTCATTTCCCAGCCAACTGGACGCCACTTTTTTCGATCATATGGTATTATCACACCAAAAAATTTAATAATATACAGGGTAAGACTTAAATAAGTGCAAATATTTTCAGGGCTGGTAGATCTCGATAAAAGAAACATATTTTCTCTTTGCCGTTTTTCAAATAAGTACAAAATAACCGACATATTTTGCTTTGAATTTAAAAAAAAATGATTTTTCTCTTAAATTTTAAGAACCACTTGATCTTTTTTAGGTTTTCTTTTTTCTAAATTTAATCTACTACCTATGTTGCCATATTATAAAGATATTATGTTTTTAACGAAAAATAAAAAAATAATAAAAATTTTTCTTCAAAAATTTCTAAATTTTCAATTTTTTTTTTCGGAAAAAAAACCTCATAGAGGTGTTTCTGGGGCCGAAATTTACTACTTCTAAAAATATGTGCACTTATAATTTCAAAATTATCAGTTAAAATTATAGAGGTCAATGCTTTTAATGTTTTGCACAAAATTACACAATACTGATTAAATTAATAATAAAGAATCATTATCTATACTAATATATAAAATCCTTAAGTGACTGACATACTGATTAATCACGATCCTGCTCAAACCACTCAACGTAAGAAGCTCAATTTTGGCATACAGGTTGATTCTAGGGTGTAGAGGTTCGATAAGAAGGGATTTTTCGAAACTCGAATTCTAAGGGGGTGAAACTATCCCTCTCATATTAAAATATTTTTTATTTAACAACCGGTGAGTTTTCCGGAAAACTCTTAAACACGTATATTTTATTTTGTTGTTTTACATATTTTAAGATTTTTTATAAATTTATACAGGGTGTTTCATAAAATATGACCATTGAGTAATCACGATTCTGCTTAAACTGCTTGACGTTTAAGGCTGATTTTTGGCAAACGGATTGACTGTGGGGTGTAGAGGTTCGATAAGGAGGGGTTTCTCGAATCTCAAATTCCAAGAGGGTGAAAACGCCCCTCAAATATTACAATATTTGTTGTTTAAAAAACGGTTAGTCTTTCGGGAAAACGCTTGGACAAGCATAATTTATTTGGTTTTTTTACATATTTTGATTTTTTTTAAAAAATCATACAGGGTGTGTTCAAAAGTTGGGTAATTTCTTAACCACGATTCTGCTTAAACTGCTTGACGTAAAAGCTTATTTTGGCTAACGGATTTTTCGAAAGTCAAATTCCAACGAGATGAAACTACCCCTCAAATATTACCAAGTTATAGAATAATATCGCCATATTGTTTTTTCTCATGCTGACATAAATGTGAGAAAATTTTATCCAGTTTGTATGTTAATGGAAATTCTTGCTTTGCTTTATCATCACCATTACAAATGATTAATTCGACGCGAACGAAGTCGCTGGTACACGCTGGTTTATAATAATTTACTATTTTACTTATTTTTTTTTTCTAAAGCAAAAAAAAATCTCAAGTATTAATAATTAATATTTTATTAACTATTTATTTCATTACAGTTTGAAGAAAAAATGAAAATTATTAATCCAGATAATCTTTATTAAACAAATGCCATAGTATTTTTTTGCAGGAAAATATTGACAGAAGTATTAGTTTAATCAATTAGTCAAGGACACTTGACTTTCTAATACCATAAAATGATAAAAGCTAATTTTAAACTGGCTTAAAATTTGTGATAAAACTCTTAATTATGTATATAACAAAAATAAACAAATAGACCTCACACGTTATCTGTTTTATTAATTATAGCTAGGAAATAAATTATCACTTTTTATTTTCTAATATCGTTTAGTTAAATATGATTTTCATTTACAGGTTGTTCCATACACGTCTGCACACTAAAGAGATCTTTACAGAATATATTAAGTTATATTTTGAATAATATTTCCTTTTTTTATTAAGCAATATTTGTAGAAAATTAAATCCCATAAATAACGTAGCATGTAAAAAAAGCCAAGTCCCGAAATCTGTTGATTGGCATCTATTGACAAAATAATATACGGGGTGTTCCATTTAAAAAAAAAAACGAAGAAAAGTTATTTTATATTTTAGAAAGTTTGGCGCAGAATTGTGAACATCCTGTATGATTTACGATTACCATATTTATAGCAAAGTAAGTCCAGACCATCTAAAGTAAACACCTAATATAGTTTTGATTTCAGGACAGTTCTTGTATTGTTAATATTTTTTTTTAAGAATCGCTGAAAAAATATATTTATTATTTATTTATTAATATATATGAAACTATCGAAATATATTTACTCATATCTTGGGAATATGTAAAGGGATCTGAAAGGAAGCCAAAAATGCAATAATATACAGGGTGTTCCATTTAAAAAAAATCCTAATACACTCACACTTTTTTGAGCCACCCTGTAGAAGTTAAGATATTTTTCTGAAATATATCCTAGTATATACTTTAAGTTTGCACTTAAACAAAATTCCCAAGTTCTTTATTCTAGGAGCTACAGTATACTGTATAAAGTGCTTATATTATTTTATAAGTGTACAGTTCCTCTGCTGGATATGTGTCTATGAAAGGAATGCGGACAAAAAACATTTAAATAAACAGCAATATATTTTATACGTCGACTTGACGAGTACGTCACTGCAAATCGCTCCGCCCACTTAATTACTGAGTTATAGCAAATTTGTCGATTTTTTATTGATGGGACGCGTCGTTAGCCATGAAAACATCGAGAGAATATCGCCGTTACTCACGGATAATGTGTAGCCACAGAATGGACAGACGTACTGTATCTAAATACATATAATCTCTCTCATTTATGGAACGTTTCAATGTATCAGGCAGATATGTTTCGCAATATTGCACAAAAAAACTAGAAATATATACAAGGGTAATAAATAAAAATTTACATGAACTGTTCTTAAATATAATCTTATCAGATTATTTTTTACACCATCAAAAAGTTTCTTGTTTACCTATTCATGTGCAACATCATGTCAACCAGGATCTAGGCAACATAGTTTTGCAGGAATATCAGCGATAATTAATATGTACACATATTTATCAGTCTAATCAGGATTTTCGTACACTACATGGGGAATTCTTTTTTACAAAATATTATTTTGTAATTAATAAAGAATAACTATACACATAAGCCAAAATTATCGAATATTTTTTTGCAATGAAGTTCTACAGTGTCACCAAAAAAATGTATGCATCAAATTTTGTTTTTTTTGTAATAGTACTCTATACAGGGTGGTCCGAACTGTATTCCGGAAACTTCGGCAGCATATTCCGCAGATAAAAATAAGTAAAAAAGTTCGTATAAAAGTATGTTGTAAAATGCGTAGTTTCGGAGATACAGGGTGTAGAAATTTCATTTTTATTTCGATTTTTTTGAAATAATCTCTGAAGTAACGTCAATATTTGGATGAAAATTGGTGTCTAAAAGTTTTTTGACATGAGAAATTTGATTTTGATGTCCATATGACTGTTACTGGTAGAGGGCGCCACCTACATGTGTTTTAACTGTTTTTGAGCGTAATAATTTTTGTCCGTACCTGTATAAAACTACTGCGGGAAAAATTACACATCTCTGTGACTTTTTACATAAAAAATATATCTTTGTAAAAATCGCTACGAGCAACGGTTCTCAAGATATTTAGAATGAAAATAGTCAATACATGTATTGACGAAAAATAAACAGGTTGAGTAGATAGTTATTTCACTGAAGTAATAAATTTGGGAAATTTTTCATTTTTTTAAATTAATCATAAATTTTTCTGCAACAAATGATAATAAAACAGTCTCTGTTGAACTTTTGGCACAAAAACTTTCAAATTTATGATCTCAGTCTAATAACTATTTAGTCAACATGTTTAATATATGTCAATGATGACAGGTATTGATAATTTCGATTCCAAATATTTCGAAAATCAATACTCGTAGCGATTTTTACCAAGATATATTTTTTACGTAAAAAACGTCGTAAATGTATATTTTTTTACTCAGTAGTTTTATACAGGTACGGACGAAAAGTTATTACACTTCAAGCCCGTTAAAAATATGTAGGTGGCTCCCTCTACTAGTAGGAGCCATATTGACATCAATATCAAATTTCTCATGTCAAAAAATGCCCAGACACCAATTTTCATCCTACAACATCAATATTGATGTTACTTCATAAATTATTTGGAAAAAATCAAAATAAAAATGAAACTTCTACACCCTGTATCTCCGAAATTAAACATTTTAAGACATACATTTATACGAACTTTTTTACTTATTTTTATCTGCAGAATATGCTGCCGAAGTTTCCGGAATACAGTTCGGACCACCCTGTATTGAACATTTTCTAACAATTTAGAACAAATTTTAAATTATAATAAATACTACCTAAGTTGTAATTTACCCTGTATAGTCTGATGCCTGATATACAGTTAAAATTACCATTGTATGTTAAATCAAGTTAAAACTTGTCCCGAAAAGTTATACAGGGTAAGATAAAATTAATACTGAGCATTCATCAATTTTTACAGTCTGTAATAATAAAGTATAAAAGCAATAAAGGCCTTATATCAGTTTAAATAAACTTACTTGTGGTAATGGTTTTGGTGGTTCGATGTGAATGAACACCAAAGGTACCACTGTGGGTACCAGCGGTCTTGGAGTGTACAAAACAGGATTAGAATTCAGAAATAATGCGCTAAGATTTTTTTCGATGTCTCCTATATAAGGTATATCGTTACCCAGGTACTTCTTTGATATTTGATCACACTTGGGCAATGCCACGAGGTTCACATAATATCGGGACCAGAGAAAATACAGGGTGCTCTTAATTCTCTCGTAGAAGCTAAAAAATAAATTAAATAATAATCTAATAGCTGTCTTTATAACTTAGATCCCAACGATCAGACTCAAATTTGGGACACCCTGTACAATAATTAGAAATGTGTGTGTGTTAATTTTGATTTTTATTCAATAATTGACACCAAACCACCATGATATGGGTAATCCGCATTTAAACAAAAGCCTTAAGGCCTCTAACTGTGCGGTTTTACCTTGAGGAAAAACTGTTTGTGTGTGACTACCATTAGAAACTCGATTTTTGATTGAAAATAATTTATTTATTATAAATAAGAACTTTTAACGTCTAACAAAGACTTAAAATAATTCATTCATAACCTCATAAAATGTTCCTAAGCTTACTCTGACTATGATTATCATTTACGAAATGAGTACCTTGTTGAGATATACTTGAGTAACCTCGACATCCTGTTGACTTTTGGTGCTTGATATTATGTTGAAATTTAAAAATATTATGTTTTATACAGGGTGTCTCAGAAATAAGTGCAAGTATTTTAAAGGGTCACCCTGCATTATACGGGGTGAGTCTAGTCACACTAATACCTTACCTCAGTTCTCCATGGTATGGCAAAAACATCTCAGAATACATAGAAGGCAAAATTGGATTGCCCATAGCATAATGCGTTCCAATCCAGCAACCCATAGAAGACACCCCAATTATAGGGGCATTCAATTTTACAGATAGCCCTAACATAATGGGACTTATATAAATTTGAGCAATAATCAGATCAAATTTCTCGTCGGGATTAGTGTAGATTTTCTTAAATTCCTCATTTTGGAAGAGAGCTTCGGCCAACTCGTAGTACATTTCGAATATTTTGGGAATTTTATTTTGGATGGCTACCTCTTTGGACATGAAGTATTCGAAACCATATCCTAGAAGGATTTTCTTTGTGTAACTTGTGTCAATCTCCGTCAAATTTGTTAAAGTTGGATCTTTTAAAGGACTGGGAGTTACACTAATAACGTCATGTCCCCTAGGAATATAAAAAAACTTGTGTTATTAAGAGACCTAAGGTTTATACAGACACCTGACCAAATCCAATAAACTCATGGTTTTGGGCTTGGTCAAGACTGACAAGTCATGCAAATTTTGATAATTTGCCTTAATTCAAAACCGTAATACAACCTTTAAAAAAAATTAATGTCATTAACTGATCAAAGTATCAAATAAGTAAATACCTAATATAGTTTTGATTTCAGGACAGTTCTTCTATTTGTAATATTTTTTTAATAAAGATTGAAAAATATAATTTGTTTTATTTATTTATTAATATCTCTGAAACTATCGAAATATATTTATTCATATCTTAGAATTATATAAAGTGATCTGAAAGAAAGCCAAAAATGCAATAATATACAGGGTGTTCCATTAAAAAAAAATCATCCTGATCCACTCACACACTTTTTTGAGACACTCTATAGAAGTTAAAATATTTTCATGATATACATCCTTGTACAGGGTGGGTCAAATTCGACGCTTTTAAATGGAAACTGTGTCTGGAGCTCTCAATTTTCATCAAAAACATGATGGTGAAAACCGCACATCAATATCTGTTACCGTTTCGGAGTTACGGGGTGTTTTTCAAAGATGTGCATTTTTAACAAATCGCTGTAACTTTTTTGCTATGGAAAATTTTTATTTCTATGAAAACATTTCCAAAGCACCTTTTTACGTAGAATTTAATGGTTTAATAAATTGTACTGAAGCTGTGGTTGGTTCCTTTTGAAACATCGTTGAAATATTAGTATTTTAATAAAGCACGCTTTTAGATGTTTCAAAAAACTTTTTGTTTGTTGTTTTTGAAACATCTAAGAGCGTGCTTTATTAAAATACTAATATTAATGGTTTAAGTATAATTTTTTTAAAATTAATTATTTAAGAGTTATCAACAGAAAAATTGATTTTTTATTTGGGACAGCCTCTATATTTGTAATTAACTGAAAAGAATTTAAAATTACCTTTCCAGAAATATAGCACACTTGATATTTTGTTATAATCCCCTTCGAAATACAGAGTTTTTAAAAGTTCGCCACTTTTAACTAGTAGGCTTTGGACCCCTTATTGATGATATGCCCTTAATGGAACTCGAAAACATATTTTGCCAGCAAGACGACGCACCGCCTCTGAACGCTGAAGTTATCAGCAAATTTTTGCAGCCAATTTCAAGAATAATTGAATAGCTAACCAAGATCCCAGCCGTTGGCCGTCGAGGCCGCCTGACTTAGTGCCCATGGATCTAATCCTATGGATATATTTGCGGAAGAATAAAGGTTTCATATTCTTCCGTATAATCTAGACAAGAATTAGAAATACTTAACAGTTATGAGAGGGTATCTTTCACCCCCACTGAGTTAATGAATTCCGCGAGAAATGTTCAAAAACTGCCCCGTCTGTCCATAACAGAAGACGGTTGATATGTCGATCACCTGTAGCAAAATCTCATGTCTTGGTTTGCTATTTATTTTTATTGTTATTAGATATAGTTTATGTGTGTTGATGTTGGTTAAATATATTTTAAATTGTTATAAAATTCTGCATCTCTCAATAGCAAATATTATTTTCGTTTTAATTGATGCTCACAACTAGAATATTTTTGCATTACAGCCGGTGCCGTTCAAAGCCTACTTATTTAAAGCGGGCGAATTTTTATATACTCTATATCTCGAAGAGGAATCGAGCAAAATATCAAGTGTGTTATATTTTTGGAAAGGTAATTTTAAATTATATTCAATAAATTAAAAATATACAAGGTGTCCCATATAAAAAATCAAATTTTCTGTTGATAATTCTTAAATTATTAATTTAAAAAAATATACTTAAACCATTAAATTCTACGTAAAAAGGTGCTTTGGAAATGTTTTCATAAAGATACAAAATTTTCCATAGCAAAAAAGTTACAGCGATTTGTTAAAAATGCACATTTTTGACAAAAATTGAGCTCCAGACACCGATATTAGTTTTTGTCTATCTCCTATAGAAAAGGGTGTTTCCATTTAAAAGCGTCGAATTTGACCCACCCTGTACATACTTTAGGTTTAGGCTTAAACAAAATTCCCAAGTTTTTTATTCTAGGAGCTACAGATGCCCGACGCATTATTGCCGGACCCGTATAACAACCCTAAAATTATTACTCACTCCTGTATATATATATATTTAAGTCAGTACATGATTTAAACAGTTTTAAAGAAGTTTAAAGTGTTTTAAATTTAAATACGTTTCATACATAATGACCCTGGTCCCAAACCAATTCAACTGATCTTAGTATGAGTTTACATGTTGGAAAAATCTTAAGAATATTAATAAGAATATCCCAAATGAAATACTTACCGTAGTGATAAAGCTTTTGCTATTGGTTGAAATGTGGCCTGATGACTGACAGACGGCACCGGAAAAATGCATAATATTCTCGCACTGTCACATCCACCTAGAGTTAACAACAACCAACCGAATAACAACAACAAGATCATTTTTCTGTAAAACTTTAACAACCACTAACCAACCTATTACTACCGATTTGCCGCTAAATAGCGCTGCATTATCAAATAATCATTACAATTATCTAAATTGAAAAATACAGTCGGTCATGTCATCACTGATCATCTCTATTATCTAAAGTTACTTTATTTATCAATCTGATTAACTGTAATCTGTCGCTGGCTGGGAATTATTATAAACTGAGTTAGAAAATGTTAAGTAATGTTGCTACAATGTGGCGATTTGGAAGGTTATCGTGGGTTTTGTTTGTTGGTGGTAATATTTAACATTGTTAATGAGTTGCTTAAAATGTAATTTTTATTGTAAATAAAGGAAGCTTGTACTTGTAGCATGCATCGAAACATAATAAATTTTCAGGTTTTTGCACAATTTATTAAAAAAAATTATAATACATTTCTTTAGCAGACCATACTAAAGGTGCCGTTACACGGCGCGTGGATCGCCGAGCCTGTAACAAAAAAATTCGCGCCGCGCTCCGTGTGAATGGGTCGGCGCGTCCATCCCGTCGACTGGCGGTAAATTTCAAAGTAAACGCGCCGTGCGAGGTCTTCACCAGTAATTCTTTTAAATTCAGTTAATTTTATTTGTTACATAATTTATTTAAATCACTCCATTTAATTAAAATCTATAAATATCATATTAATTAGGTATAAAAATTACTGATAAATACAGGGTATACCAATATAATCTACCATGTTATTGTTTAAAATTATTATTTATTCTAAATGCTGTATAAAGGATATACTCGTATAGATAGATATAGTTTATTAGTTCTAAGTATAATAATATAAGTTACATACAAATACCCCGAAGGGTGTAGAACATGTCAAAAATGTTGACTTATACTAAAAGGGTGAGAAGCACTATATACATTTTGCTGAGGTGATTTATGTATGTGTAATAATTGTATATGATACTTAATTTATACTTCTAAATTTTACAGCAGCTATAGAAATATTAATTCATAAAGTTTTGTGCAATTATGCTATTTAAAATTTGTATAGCTATACTAATTTATTGGCGGTAATTTGAGCGGTGGTAATTGCCGATGATTATAACAATATATTATAGGTACCAATTTACCCCTCAGTGCGATTAGTTCAATCACAAATGAACTGATTTATAGCCGGCCAAAAATTGTTTACTTTGAACACAGTAGGTATGTGATACATTTGATTATGTACCCTACCATATCTATCGAAAAACGGAGATTCGAAGAATAATTGATATTTTACATATTTCGAGACAACATGTTTTGGTAGAACGAGACTATATCTGAGTTTTTACCACTATATGAAAAAGACCAAATAACTTGGAACCCCAGAAATAATGCATATAAAAATAGAAATGAAATACAGGACGGCTGTCTGAGAATACATCAAAAGTTGAGTATCAAGAATTATTGCACCATGAACGAATTAAAAAATTAATTAATTAAAGAATTAAAAAAGAAGAAGAGTTGTTCTAGTCTTTTTAGTTCCTAAAATACAGGACGAATTTTAAAATGTTGCATTTTTCGATTCCACCGTATATCGGTTATCTTATAACTTATCGAAAAGGTGAAAACTCAGTCTCGGTTAGTTTTTTACGTAGAATCCAGTGATGTTAACTAGTTTCGCTGATGGTTCTCATTTTCGAAATCTGATCTAAAGAGACACCCAGTATATTATTTTTTTTATATTATCTGCCTTGTTATGGGCTTTCTGAAAATATGATATACTCTAAAATTATATTTTTATAAATAAGGCAAAAAAATATTATTTAACTTTTGAACATAAATAACCCTATTTAAAAAATGTATTATTATCTTATTTAATTTAATTTAACCAGATGATTTTGCTTTCCATCTTGTTATCTTAATAAACTGCACTGAAAATAAAGTTGCGGAATAAATTATTTGATTGTATGAATTTAAACCGATAGTCGTTAGATGTTAAAAAGTTATATAATGTATTTTTTGTTCTCTGTCTCTCGGTCGGCCGTGAGATCGCAAGTGCGAAAATACGCATTGGCGCGTCCTGGCTCGGCGATTCGCGCGCCAGGCGCGTGGATCGGCAAGCCACACGCCATGTAATGGCACCTTAACACGTACGGTAGGCTATTAAGATCGACAAAAAAAAGTTTTTTTTAATTTCACTCAAAATGACTTATCTGGATCATAAATGACCTAAATAAAAAATATTTTCATGGTGTCTGTCTGTCTGTCTGTCTGTCTGTCTGTAACTCTGTAACACGATAACTCAAAAACCGCTAAACCGATTTTAACCAAATTTGGCACAAAAATACTGTGGCACCCGAGAATCTGGCCATTAGTTTTGGTGGGGGTTGGCGGTTGGTAAGGGGGTATGGGAGGGGGTTAAAAATTAAAAAAAATCGTAACTCCAAAATTACAATAGCTAGTTAAACGCGGTTTTCAATTTAAGATTAGGAATAATATTTGCAACAAAATTTGTAATAACATCAAAATCAGTCAAAGTCGCAGTTTTTGAGATAAAAAAATTTGAAAAGTTGCTTTACTTTGAAACTAAAAGAACTGCCTACGAACTTTTTATTGACATATTTTAGTATGGGCGGCTATACGTGCCTCCCAGTGCCATTTTTTTTAATTTTCTCCAACATGGTAAGGAAATTTGGAAAAGTATAAACGGGATTAACCATTTCAGATCAAGCAAAAATTTTAAGAGAAATTTATTTTCTCAAAGTACCAATAATAAAAAAGTTGTTCCTCTTGTAAAGAAAATCCGGGGACATACTGTATATAAAGAGTACATGCGTTTTAAGTGCGAAAATATTTAAGTATATTTTGACCCCAGAAACACGACTATGAGGTTTTTCTTTGGTGAAAAAAAAATTAAAACTTTTTAGGAATAAATATATATGTATTTAAATTTTTAGTTAAAAATACATAATATATATCTTAATAATACCGTATGATCGGAAAAGAAAACGACGTCCAGATGGCTGGGAAATGACGATCGATGACATTTCTCATATATAACTCACACATATAAATAAATGACAGCGATCTGCATTTCATAGCTATCGCTGACGCCTTTTTTTCGATCATACGGTATAATAAACTTCAAACTTCTGTACTTATTTTCATAAACAAGGTATGTAAAAGGCATTATTAACTTTTAACATAGTCGGCCGGTAATCAAAACAATCGAAATGTAGTTTATTCGACGCCAAATTTTAATTTAATTACTCAAATTTTAATTATTAATCAACATATTATTTTTACCACCGGATATTTGTAACACAGTTTCTATTATTTAATTATAAACAATGTAGACGCTTAAGAAAATATTATTGTACTCATACAAATTGTTATTTTAGTAAAGTAAATCCGTATCTCAAATATTTAAATAAACTGTCTAATTAAATAGAGGTAATTCCATTATAAAGCAACTTTTTTTAGGAAAAATTAGTTTTTAATGATATAAAAATTACGCAAATATTTCTTTAAATATTGTGTAAATTTATAGAAAACTGTCTTTAAAACAGAAGTAGTTTCAAATTCTTATGATTATTTTGATTATTTATAATTTAGCGGCAAAAATATTGAAATTAGTACTTCCCTGTGGCGTAAGATGGAGCTATAAAAAAATCACCAATCAATACTTTCTTCCTTATGAAATATTTAATATTTATTATTAATCTATAGCTCATCGTAGATAATCCGTACAGTAGTTCAAATAAACATAGCAATTTTTTAACAGATGAGGTTAAATTTTTATTAGAAAATTATCGGAAATTCCAATGTTTGTAACAGTCCGTAATTCCTAGACCTCGTAATCTATGTCAGAATTTATCTAAATGGTAATAAATTAGCTAAAGGAGCAGCATTGATGCTGCTGTCGGTTAACTAGCCAGTGAATAATGTGTAAACTAATATGTTTTGTTGTCCTAATTCATCTGAATTTAATAGTAGGACAGTACGATAATTTAACATTGATCTCAAAAAGTAGAACGGCAAACTTGGAAATATATCAAGCCTTTGCCGATGTAGTGTTGATGAGCTTTTCTCTACCAGACAACACCATTTATGTATCCTTTAAATTCATTGCCTCTGAGGAAGCTTTAACTGTATTCGGTTGTGTTCCAAGAAACGTATCTATATATTTAAAACATGGTGCCCCGCCAGTAATCAATCCTGATGGAGCCCTATTTCCAGAAGACTTTAGAAATGTATCAAGACCAGCTATATTTGATGTGGAATTTCAAACTGACAGAGAGGAGGTGTATGTTAATATTACTTCCCCCGACCCTGGTGTATATTATGCAGCAGTGTTTCTTGCCTATGAGGATCCTCGTTTCAAACAAATATCTCAGCAAGGTTAGTGATTGTTTTCATTTACAGGATGTTCCATTTTTATGCTTTTTATGGAGTTTCTTGTTTATGAGTATAGTAGAGATACAAATATGCAGTTTGCACATCACTTTTATTTTTTGTTTCCTTTCCAGGCTTGACCAGATCATGTGATGCATTTGTAGATGCTTCAGTTTATGTTAAGCAAATCGATAAACCAAGCATTATTTCTGAACTCCAAACAGTAAAAGTCACTGGTGTAGCAAACAGTAGTAACTATTTTACTATCTATGTGCCAAACAACGTGGACCATGCTATAATTAATGTACAAAGTAGCGAAATCAACAGAGCAATACTACGAACTCAGGCAAGGAAACCACCTTCAAAAACTAGCTATATCTTACAAGAAAATATAGATAACTATACAATTAGTGCAGTATTTTGGACAGAACCCCATGTTTGGCATTATATTCAATTTGAATTTGGTCCAAATTCAGGCAGTTTATCCTTTGAAGTTAAGTTCCTTTCTAGTCGAGTTTTAACAAGCTCTAGTAATTCTTCTGTGTTACTTACTAATAAAATAACAGATGTTTTAAGATATAAACAGTATGACTTGGCTCGTGAGACAGCAGCAAGAAGTTTTACTTTTTCTTACAGACTTGGCTCTGAGTTACAAAACAACGTGCCTGTAGCTGTTAATATTACTTCAAACGATTTTACAGTATTAAGATTTAATTTACGGAAAGGTACCGATATTGGTGGTACTTTACAGTATATTTTGGCATTTAAACCTAGAATTACTCGGTCAGGAAGAATGATAACCCTTGAGGAGGAGCCTGAAGGTAATATTGTGGTGGGGTGTATTCAGAAAAATTCAATTTCTGTACCTATTTTTCCTAATTTATGTTCAACACCTAATTCTACTGTTCGATCTCCGTTAATTCTGAACAAAACAGCAGATAACTCTACAGTCCTTGTTCCATATCCAGAATCTGGTACTTGGTATGCTTCTTTTAAGCTGTTTTGTGGATCCTGTATTCCTTGCAATTGCTCAGATGCTTGTGAACAGAAGTTCCAAAGCTGTGCAAATGACTGTGAGAAAAGTTGTACAGCAAACAGTAGCTGTGCTAATTGTTTTGACAGTTGTAAGCAATCAGTTATAAAATTGCAAGAATGTACTCAATGTGACTGTGATGGGGGATGTTTAAAGAAAAATGCAAGTGATGTTTGCAACTCTAGTATTATTTTTGATGTCAGCTCTAGGCCTTGTTATTATGGGGATTGTGGGAAGCAGGGACAATGCTTGATGATGGTGTCTGAAGGAACAGCATATTCAACATGCTTGTGTTCAAATAATTATAGAGGTGAGTTATATGTACTTTTTATCCTTTTTTTTAAGTAAATACATTTTTTTCTTTTAAATTTACAATATACAGGGTGTTTCAAAAAAAAGGTGCCATCTCTCGTGGATTCCTCATGTAAAAATAAGATTTATTTTTCATATCATGGCTTCTTTTTAATGGAGTACCCTGTGAAACATAAAGGAAAAATGTATTTCGTTTACTAAAATGTTTTTCCTTTAAAGTAAATAATTAAGATACTGTAATTTTATGACTGATTTTTTGTATTAACTCTGAACCAAAAATTTTCAAGAACAAAATGTTGAACTATTTTTTTTTATTGGAATAATTTTGATACATGCATTTATCTGTCGTTGATTATACCGTATGATCGAAAAAAAACGACGTTAAAGACAGCTGGTGAATGACAATCGATGATAATTTTGGCGAGGTCAACCTCTAGATGTCATTTACTAAAAATTGACACAAAACTTGCCAAAATTAACACTATATAAATATTATAAAAGGTCTTTGACGCCATTTTTTTTCGATCGCAGAACAGTTTATTACATCACAATTTTTATTGCTATTTTGTTGATATCAAATACCGTATGATGGAAAAAAAACGGCCTCGGCGAAGGCTATGAAATGAAGATTGCTGTTATTTTTTATATGTAAAATTATATGGAGAATGTCATCGATGTTCATTTCCCAGCCGTTTTTGACGCCGTTTTTTCCATCGCAGAACAGTTTATTACATCACAATTTTTGTTGATATCAAATATCGTACGATCGAAAAAAAAACGGCGTCAGCGATGGCTATGAAATGAATCTTCATCGTTCGTTGTCATTTTATATGTAAATTTATATGGGAAATGTCATCGATCGTCAGTTCCCAGCCAACTGGGCGCCATTTTTTTTTATTATACGGTATATACCAATAAGTAAAAGGCACTTTAAATCATTGTTCTGTATTGCTTTGATTTATTTGATCATATGTGATGTTATACATTTCTAAATACAGTCATATACAGGGTGCTTCAAAAAAAAGGTGCCATCTCTCGTGGATTCCTCATGTAAAAATTAGATTTATTTTTCATATCAACATAGGTCCGATTCTGCTTTGTTTCGTAGCTACAGGGTATTAAAGTCTTAATATTTTTTCGATTTATTTCCAACTACTTTAAAAAAATTATAAAAAATTAGCTGATTTAGCTGAAATTTTGAATGCGCGTATAAGTAATTTAAAAAAAAACGAAGAAACATTACTAAAAATTGTATTAATCAATAATAAATATGTAAAAAGTAAGTAGGGTTCCCGTTTTTACCCTTTTAACCCTAAAAACTATTGGTAACAATATGGTAACAATATATTAATTTTTCTTTTACAGGTTATGACTGTTCTGATGGATCCCTAGCCACCCCCTACGGCATGGTTCTTCTAGAATTCCTCCTCTTAATCCTAAGCAACATTTTCTTCCTACCTGTAACCTATCTAGCGTACCGAAGAAGGTACTACGTTGAAGCAGTATCCTACTTTTGTATATTCCTCTCTTCAACATTCTACCATGCCTGCGACGCTGGCGAAAACATTTTAAGTTTCTGCCTGTTCCGCTTAAGCACTCTACAATTTGCTGACTTTTTCTCTGCAGTTTTAGCTATTTGGCTGACATTGTTAGCCATGGCAGACCTACCTACGGTCCAACTATCCATACTACAAATGGCGGGATCCATAATCATAGCTTTTTGTGTTACTTTGAACCGTTACGCATTGTGGATCTTTGCACTGCCATCTAGCGTGGGAGTTGTGATCATAGGCGTGAGTTGGTATTTAAAGTACCGCAAGTACAGGCAGAAATTTATTATTAGTTCGTATTTGTACGTCAAGTTGCCGATAGGGATCTCTGTGGTGAGTGTGGGGTTGATAATATACGGGGTGTTGCAGACGCAGGCTAACTATAAGTATCTGCACTCGCTTTGGCATATTATAATGGCGGCCGGAGTGTTTTTCTTGTTGCCTACCAATGATACATTCCAGGCTGAAGTATTACTATAAGCTATGGCTTTTTTAGTCTGATTCTCGTATTTTTAGTTTATTTTACTGAGTAAGTTTAAAATCGTGGAAGTATACCGTGTGATTAAATGGAAATGACGTCATCGTGGCTAAAGAAATCTTTCATCAAATTTTTCAACATTAGGGTGCGTCCATAAGTTACATGAGGATCTGGCTTAAAATGCCAAATGGAACCTTTTTAAGCTAAATGGAACCATATGATTTTTATGAAATTCGAAATTTTGAAGTGAATGAAGTCACTGAAGTAAAAAAGTTCGTATAAATGTATATCCTAAAATGCTTCGTTTAGGAGATACAGGGTGTAGAGGTTTCATTTTTATTTCGATTTTTTCCAAATAATTTCTGAACTAACGTCAAAGTTTCGATGAAAATTGGTGTCTGGGAGATTTTTGACAGGAGAAATATGATTTTGATGCCAATATGATTTCTGTTTGTAGGGGGCGCCACCTACATGTGGTTTAACCAATGACTAAAGAATATAAGGACATGTAACGCCCCTATACGGGCTGCAGCAGAATTTGTGACCTTTTTTTTTTGTTTTGGTGGCAAACAATGAGTCATCATTTGGTCACCAGTGACAATTGTAGCGATTTTTAATAGTTTGTGTGTAGTAAACTTTGTATAAACTTTATTACAATGGTGATTAGTTGTTCAGCTTTCAAGTGTAAAAGCAGCAGCGATAAGAAAGAGCCAGGAGTTACGTTTCATAGGTAAATAAACAGTCCACTCCAACTTTTTAGCGTTTTCTTATTGAATTCGATAATTATTCTTCAATTTCAATTAACATCTATATGTACTTGATATGTGCTATACGTCGATACTAGTTTTGTACCTTTTGTTAACATTTTAATATGTTTTTTTCGTAATTAATTAGGATGATACACCATAGGCGTAGTCAAAACAATTATCAAAAGATATAAATATTGCTTCAAACAGCTAGGTTAAGAAAAATATGTGCCACGGCACTGTTTGGTGTCATCGTCACAATTTGCTCTCGGGTGTTATTTGTCCTTGGATTCTTTAGTCATTGGGTTTAACTGTTTTGAAGTCAAATGAACCAATGAGATTTGTACAAAATTCAAACAGCTGTCAATTTTAAATTTAGTACAACTCTCATTGTTTCCTTGAAGTGTAATCGAAATAGGAAGTAAACTTTCACACCCTGTCTTTTCAATTAAGGGCATACATTTATAAGTACTTTTTTACTTATTTTTATCTGCAGAATATTCTGCTGAAGCTTTCCCAATACAATTCGGACCACCCTATACAGGGTTGTTCACCACATACGACACGGAGTATTGTAGCTAAATGACTAGATTTTTACAAATTGTAAGTTTTGGGTTCGTTGAAGGACTATTAGAGCTACAATTTAAAAATATTTTTACAAGATACAGGGTGTCCCAAATAAATAAAAAATATCAAAGTTGTATTTTTTTAAATGGAACACCCTATATATTATTACATTTTTAGTTTCTACGATTAAAATAAAGGTAAATTTGATTAAGGTTTATTACACTTAAACCTTACCGTTTTTGAAATATTTTCAATTTTGTGAAATGCCAGTATAAATTTTAAGGCTTCATTTCTCCGAGGGTATCAAAGTTTTTAATACTAAAGATTCACTGAAGTTTATTTATTGATCAGTTACTGTGTTGCAATAATAAAAACTTTATTACCTTATACAGAGTGTCTAAAAATTTATTTTAAATAATTACTAGCTTTAAACGGCAATAACTTGTTTGATTTAAATGGAACACCCTGTATATTTTATGAGAATCAGATGCACAATTTAATTGTCTATCAAATTGTATTATACCGTTTTTTACCTATCTCTTCAAGTTTCCATAGAAAATGCATTTTGTTGTAATTTAGAACTCATTTATCAATATACCCATGGAATACTGACATTTTAGATTATTTTTAAAGATGTACCAAATTTTTAAAGAGTATTACTAATATTGTCGATATAGTTCGTTTATTTCATTAAAAAATAAAAAAAAAACTGTTTAAATATTTGTTAAAGAGGACCTATTAATATGATTCCAGTATTCAAATTACATTAATTGACTGTTTGCGTTGATTAATAATAATTGCTCCAAATACTAAAAAAGTGAATTATGTATGTGTATTAGACAGTGTGGTAAAAAGTAACACCTTAAAAATGATATTTAATTTTTTGACAAATGCTTATTTATAACAACAGAGACGTTCATTTTCATAACTTATTATTATATTGATTTCTGACTCAAATCCACATTTGTTTAGAATAATTTATTAACGAATACAATTAAGTATGTAGTTAATTAGTATTTGGGCGGAAATACTAGTGGTATATTTAATTAATGGTATACTCTTTTATCAAGATTTAGATAGTTTTCATTTTGCATACAAATGGGCTAGTAATATTATCGTTTTACTAAAAACGATAATATTACTAGCCTGTACATTTTTTACATTTGTTGTTTTAAAAACAATCTAAAATGTCAATATTCCATGGGTATATTGATAAATGAGGTCTAAATTATAAGAAAATGCATTTTCTACGAAAACTTGAAAGAATAGGTAAGAAGTGGTATAATACAATTTGATAGACAATTAAATTGTGCATCTGATTCTCATAAAATATACAGGGTGTTCTATTTAAAGCAAATAAGTTATTGCCGTTTAGAACAGTAATTATTTAAAATAAATTTTTAGACACTCTGTATAAGGTAGTATAATTTTTATTATTGCAACACAATAACTGATCAATAAATAAACTTCAGTAAATATTTAGTATTAAAAACTTTGATATCCTCGGAGAAATGAAGCCTTAAAATTTATACTGCAATTTAGCAAAATTGAAAATATTTCAAAAACGGTAAGGTTTAAGTGTAATAAACCTTAATCAAATTTACCTTTATTTTAATCGTAGAAACTAAAAATACAATAATATACAGGGTGTTCTATTTAAAAAAATACAACTTTGATATTTTTTATTTATTTGGGACACTCTGTATCTTGTAAAAATATTTTTAAATTGTAGCTCTAGTAGTCCTTCAACGAACCCAAAACTTACATTTTGTAAAAATCTAATCGTTTAGCTACAATACTCCGTGTCGTATGTGGTGAACAACCCTGTATAGCCGACAGCCTAAACTGGAATTGTTCTCTACAGCCACTGTGACATCACGTTTATGTGATCGCACGGCTTCTTTTTAATGGAGTACCCTGTGAAACATAAAGGAAAAATGTATTTCGTTTACTAAAATGTTTTTCCTTTAAAGTAAATAATTAAGATACTGTAATTTTATGACTGATTTTTTGTATTAACTCTGAACCAAAAATTTTCAAGAACAAAATGTTTGGTTTGGTTGTATTTTTTTTTATTGGAATAATTTTGATACATGCTGATATTGGAATAATTTTGATCATCTGTCGTTGATTATACCGTATGATCGAAAAAAAACGACGTTAAAGACAGCTGGTGAATGACAATCGATGATAATTTTGGCGAGGTCAACATCTAGATGTTATTTACTAAAAATTGACACAAAACTTGCCAACAAATATTATAAAAGGTCTTTGACGCCATTTTTTTTTCGATCGCAGAACAGTTTATTACATCACAATTTTTATTGCTATTTTGTTGATATCAAATACCGTATGATCGAAAAAAAACGGCGTCGGCGAAGGCTATGAAATGAAGATTGCTGTTATTTTTTATATGTAAAATTATATGGAGAATGTCATCCATGTTCATTCCCCAGCCGTTTTTGACGCCGTTTTTTCCATCGCAGAACAGTTTATTACATCACAATTTTTGTTGATATCAAATATCGTATGATCGAAAAAAAAAACGGCGTCAGCGATGGCTATGAAATGAATCTTCATCGTTCGTTGTCATTTAATATGTAAATTTATATGGGAAATGACATCGATCGTCAGTTCCCAGCCAACTGGGCGCCGTTTTTTTTATTATACGGTATATACCAATAAGTAAAAGGCACTTTAAATCATTGTTCTGTATTGCTTTGATTTATTTGATCATATTTGATGTTATACATTTCTAAATACAGTCAGAATAACTTAATTATACATTTTTGATTATTTAACTACTGTATAATTGAAACAAAAAACCCTTCAAGTTACTTTAAATTAACGATCGATCACATTCACCAAAATATAATTTTATACGTAAAATGTCATGGATCGTTATTTCTAAGCTAACTTGACACCGTTTCTTTTTCGATCACACATATATATTCCTAATTTTTAGCGATATAATCAATGAAAATATATTTTATCTTGTAGGAAGTTCACTAGATTGTAGAATTGTAATTTATTACTATTTTTAATAGAAATAGCTGCCCAAAAATTTGCTGCTATCGCGGTTTGGTACTGTATATCTTATATGCCGTGCTAGTAAATAAAAACAACGTCACAGTAGCCAAAGAATATCTAAAGAATTAAATTGAATTTTGAAGAAAAACAAGTGGTTTAAAAAATGTTGGTTTTTAAAAATATTGATAGTATGTATATGCCTACTGTGGCTTGCTTTTGATTGTATTCTCATGAACAAAAAATGCAATTTAAGCATGACAATATATGTATGTACATTTATAAGTACATACCTAGTCATTCTTCACATGTAACACTGTATACTGTTATTTATAAAACCATTGATAAACATAGTATATTTAAATTAATCAAGATATACATAATAATGTGTATAGTACCTACGTACCTAAGATTTATATTATACATACATTTTAATCTAAAAAACTGTTCCTGTGATATTTCACTAAATTATATATTTTCAACAATGCATCACTATAAATAGTTTGTTAATAAATATATATGTTGTGTAGTTTACGAAATTTTGTTTTATTGATTACACCTAGACAGTCGAGGAAAAAAACAGAGTCGTAGTAGCCTGTTAAAATGGAAATCTCCGATATTTTCTGTTGGGTTGACCCCTAGCTATCGCTGTTTTTAATGGATGATATTAGAACAAAAATATAAAACAAACTTGTTTATTTCATTAAATTGTAAATCTTTGCCAACGATCTTCATTTCTAAGGCAACTACGACGCTATTTTTTTCGATCGTAGCAAGGAATTCGGTATTATCGAAAAAGAAATGGCGTCAAGTTGACTAGGAAATTATATGTCGTACTATTAATCTTAGTATGTTAATAAAAATTAACATCAGGGATCTTCATTTCTGAGGCAACTCCCACGCTGTTTTTTTTTTCGCTTGTAGCAAGGAATACGGTATGATCATACCGTTTTATTTTATATTTAAAGCTATTTTTTCACTATCCATGTATATTTTCGTATGCAGAAAATTTCAAAAATAAAGTAATTTTGTTTATAGTGCTATGCAACCAGTAATATATTTTTTTAAGCCTGGCATCTGAAGAAAACATTAACTCTATTTTGTATAATGTTAATAAGAATATATAAACAAGGAACATAGATACACACTTAAAAAATGTTTCTAAATCTTTATTTTCTTATTCCAAATTACATTTATTTCTTTTGTTAAATCTACAGGTTATAATACAAGAATTATTTCAAGTAATGTATCGTGATTGGTCTGTTCAGAATTATCATTTGATGTTTTACATCTCTATTGCCAAGATGTTATAGAATTTCTGAAACTAATCTAAATCAATATATTTGGAAGTATAAATCGAATTAAACCGTTACAAATTCCTGATAAATTTCTTAAAAAACATTCAATATAAACCGTGTTTCAATATAGAAATAAATAAAATCTTTTTCTTGGTAAAGGTGTGGATCCGGTGGCTGACCTTGAAGCCCATATTTGCTGCTTTTGATCATCGATACTACGCAAGCGCACATCGTCGATGTTGCCAAATTGCAGTTTATTTTCGAATTATTTACAGTTGAAAATTTTTTTTTGCGTGTTAATCAATAATAATACAAATTCTATAATTTCAGATTTATCTTGATATCCAAAATTAAGGTAAGAAGGATAATGAAGATTGTGAAATGAAAGTATTATAATATATAAAATTGTAATAATAATAACATTTATTTATATGTTTACATTAGAATTAAAATTTATCATAAACTTATTAGAATTATTTTATTTCTTTCAAGTTATTTAATTTCTAGTTATTTACAGGCAACAATATTTTTGATTATATGTATTGATGTTTTGAAGTACTACCATGACGGGTCTTATCATAGAACAATAAACGTCAATCGGAGATAGAGGTAACATTTTACCTATTATATAATGTTACTAATATAATATACTTTGATTATAATTAATGTTTGTATCATAATTTCTTAAAAATATCAAGTTAGTGGATTAATAGCAATTTTAGACATATATTTTATCGAAGAGTGTGTATTGATAAGACTAAAATAAGCTTTATGTTTTATCTTTTTCTCTTTAGAAGGGAGATGGTTTGTACCGTAGAATACATTACAGTATTTAATATCGTGTACTTTGATATTCTTTTCTTAATTTACTTAATTTCTTGTTTCCTATAATGCCAAATCTTGACAATATGGTGAAGGTTGAGTTTTGATCTTATTAGTTTTATAAGAATAATAATAATAATAGAAATTCAAGACTAAATTAAGACTTAGTTTGTGATTTATATTAAGATCTTTCTTATAATATTTGTTATGTCTTAATCTTAATACTATATATTATGCTTGGTCTGGAAAATAAAAGTTAAAATATCTTAATTTTGCATATCCTATTCCATCCTTCCATTAGGAAAAATATGGTTTATAAATCATATATGCTAAGAAAATCACATAAATTAGGTGTAAGAATAGAGAAATCTTAATGTAGCAGAAAAATGAATGCAATATATGTATAAGCAGAATTAAACAAGGTAACTGATGATGTTAATGTTGCTGAAGCTGAGGCTAAAAGGCCTTTTAAGGCCTCCGTAGTTTTGATGAAATGTTAAAAAAAAACTATTATGAACATGACATGGAGCTACAGCTTAAAAAAAGAAAAAACTTGGACACATCCCTTTTAATTTCCCGAATTTTTAATAAAGCACTTTTTAAACGTAACATAATAATCTAGATAGGAATCTAGAGTTTTATTTCTATATAATTTTATTGACTATGAAAATACATAATAAGCGTTCACGTGTTGTGCGAAATATTAAAATAATAATATAAATAATATACCGCATACTATAAAAAAAAATAGCGTCACCGATGACTATGAAATGAAGATCGCTGTCATTTTACATGGGAAATGTCCTCAATCGTCATTTCCCAGCCAACTGGACGCCGTTTTTTCGATCATACGGTATATATTGACAAAAAAACACTGAAAAGCACATATTTGTTTTCTATTGAAAATAATTCCAAAATAACTCACAATCTGGCAACATCGAAGATGTGCGCATGCGTAGTGTCTGTGACTATATGCAGCAAAAACTCGTTTCAAGGTCAGCCACCGGATCCACACCATTACCTTTTTCTTTTAGACACAACATTATTTATGCAGTAAAAAATTATCACTGATTTAGTTGTGTTCAATCTGACAACGTTGACACTGCGCCATTTTCCGTTGTGGACGAAGTATGTTCGTATGTTCTGCTGTCGCTCTTACAAATTTTCTAGTTTTTTTGGTAGAAAAAATGGTGTTCCTGTACCCCATTTGAGTCTATTCTGTTCCTTAAGACTGGTTGAATCTCCTGAAAATGTAAGTACTCATTATTTTGTCTGTTTTCTATAGTTTTTTCACTTCTAAATATTTCAATTATTACATCATCGTTAAAACACGGTTAAAAGCTGATACATTTTGACCATTTTCATGATTTTCTTATTCGAATTCGAGTATATGGAAATATAGACACTGTTCTTGATGTCTCTTTTGTACATTAGGTGGTAATTATGCAGTATAGGTGTTTTTCGTATTTTTAGTGATTATATGATTAATTTACCTACGCCAACCCGCCCAACGGTCGATATGAAGAGGAGTAAAAAAAATTTTCAACGTGCGCACACGGACTTATGTTGTATTTGGTATCTAGAATCACGTAAAAAAAGAATTTTTGAGAAATCTCTAAAAATACAAAAAACACCTATACTGCATAACTACCAAATTTTTTAGGTGTTTATTCATATAGGCAAACGGCAAAGTATTTTCTGTGTCTTTTAGAATGAGTACCTATACCTAAAGCGGCCCCCATTTGTAAGAATTACATAATATTTTCAGATAAAAGAATAACGTATTTACACATCACCTCTACTTTTGAGTCTTGGCTGTTTGACGTATTGGTTGTTGACGTATACTCTGTCGTCATATTTTAGTTAATATAATTTTGCATTCTTTCAATATAATGTTTTAATTATAATTTTGTTTTTTAGAAGCGTTAATAATAATACACAACAGCAAATAATGACCACCCAACAGTAGAGACCTGGGTCACTAGCTCTTTGTACGATCCTGATGTTCGGCCAGCATTCTGGTGAACGAAATTGATGTTCCATTATTTGATTAAAAGTAAGTTTAAAAATAATTTATATAAATTTATTAAATGTTTATTAACAGACTAACCATAGTTTTTAGGAAGAAAGAAAAAATAAACATAATTATACCATAATTAAAAAAATGTAACTATATTTATTCCTTTTTTTACAGATTTTGTACAGGGTGGGTCAAATTCGACGCTTTTAAATGGAATGCAATTCCAAAGCAGTACATTTATCCTATTCATGAGTTTTGCCAAGAATATGCATCAGGACTTATATCTAAAATTTTATTTCTTCTGGGTAAATATACAGGATTGTTCACCACATACGACACGGAGTATTGTAGCTGTAGTAAGTTTTGGGATCGTTGAAGGACTATTAGAGCTACAATTTAAAAATATTTTTACAAGATACAGAGTGTCCCAAATAAATAAAAAATATCAAAGTTGTATTTTTTTAAATGGAACACCCTGTATATTATTACATTTATAGTTTCTACGATTAAAATAAAGGTAAGTTTGATAAAGGTTTATTACACTTAAACCTTACCGTTTTTGAAATATTTTCAATTTTGTGAAGTTGCAATCAAAATTTTAAGGCTTTTTTTCTCCAAGGCTATTAAAGTTTTTAATACTAAATATTCACTGAAGTTTATTTATCGATCAGTTATTGTGTTGCAGTAATAAAAATTATACTACCTTTTGCAGAGTGTCTAAAATTTTATTATAAATAATTACTAGCTTTAAACGGCAATAACTTGTTTAATTTAAATAGAACACCCTGTATATTTTATGAGAATCAGATGCACAATTTAATTGTCTATCAAATTGTATTATATAATTTTTTACCTATCTCTTCAAGTTTCCGTAGAAAATGCATTTTCTTGTAATTTAATACTCATTTATCTATATACCTATGGAATATTGACATTTTAGATTATTTTTAAAGATGTACCAAATTTTTAAAGAGAACAGATACTAATGTTGTCGATATAGTTTATTTATTTCATAAAAATAAAAAAAAACCTGTTTAAATATTTGTTAAAGAGGACCAATTAATATGATTCCAGTATTCAAACTACATTAAGTGACTGTTTGCGTTGATTAATAATAATGCTCCAAATACTAAAAAACTGAATTTTGTATGTGTTATGTGTATTAGATAGTGTGGTAAAAAGTAACACCTTAAAAATGATATTTAATTTCTTGACAAATGCTTATTTATAACAACAGAGACATTCATTTTCATAACTTATTATTATATTGATTTCTGATTCAAATCCACATTTATTTAGAATAATTTATTAACGAACATAATTAAGTATGTAATTAATTAGTATTTGAGCGGAAATAATAGTGGTATATTTAATTAATGGTATACTCTTTTATAAGGATTTAAATAGTTTTCTTTTTGCATATAAATGGGCTAGTAATATTTTCATTTTGCTAAAAACGATAATATTACTAGCCTGTACATCTTGTACCTTTGTTGCTTTAAAAACAATCTAAACTGTCAATAGTCCATGGGTATATTGATAAATGAGGTCTGAATTATCAGAAAATGCATTTTATACGAAAACTTGAACGGATAGGTAAAAGTGGTACATCGTAATACAATTTGATTGTATCAAAAATTAAATTGTGCATCTGATTCTCCTAAAATATACAGGGCGTTCTATTGAAATTAAACAAGTTATTGCCGTTTAAAGCTAGAAATAATTTAAAATAAAATTTTAGACACTCTATAAGGTAGTATTATTTTTATTATTGCAACCTAATAACTGATCAATAAATAAACTTCAGTAAATATTTAGTATTAAAAACTTTGATACTGTTACGGATTCCGTGGGTCCACTAATTTAAACTCACGATAAAATACTTAACGAATTTATTTTCTCACTTTATACACAATTACTAACTTATAACACACAACAAACTAACTATTTATAAGATTCCTTCACCAAATTGTCCGATTTTCAATTTCGGTATATTCAAATTTCAAAAAACTGTCTCAGTTGTCGATGAAGCAAACATATACTCTATTGACTGCTTCTCGAAATTTCCCCATTCTCGGAAGCGTACTTCTTCATACCGAACAATTCTATTGTCTGATTCATACTTCTCGACTTGACTAAAAGATGGCGCCTGAAAAAGTCTTTTAATTTCTGGCGGATACGTTGCGGTTGTGCAGGCAACCAGTAATACATTTTTAATTTCTGGCGGATGCGCCATTTTTCTTGACAATACCTTTGGAGAAATGAAGCCTTAAAATTTTGACTGCAATTTCACAAAATTAAAAATATTTCAAAAACGGTCAGGTTTAAGTGTGATAAACCTTAATCAAATTTACCTTTATTTTGATCGTAGAAACTAAAAATGTAATAATATACAGGGTGTTCCATTTAAAAATATACAACTTTGATATTTTTTATTTATTTGGGACACTCTGGATCTTGTAAACATATTTTTAAATTGTAGCTCTAATAGTCCTGCAACGAACCTAAAACTTACAATTTGTAAAAATCTAATCGTTTAGCTACAATACTCCGTGTCGTATGTGGTGAACAGCCCTGTATTTATACTGGCTTTCATTGTTCATCAGTGCATTTCACGATTTCTTAACATAATTATGTCGGAAAAAAATTCCAATTAGGTCTCTGAGTTACATTTTTATGGTTACTTATTATCATAGTTAATTTTAGACTATTTATTTTGAATTTGGGTCAATTATTGGCTTTTCTTCTAATTTTTTGGGGGAGAATATCATCTACTCTGAACTTTGAACTTCAGTTCATGTTGTTGTTGGTTTACTTTCATTTCTCTATAATAGTTTGACCATATTTACTTGATTGTGGAAATAATATTACCATTTATCAATAATCATATCCAGTTGACTGTATACTGTGTAAGTCTTATTAGTTTGCTAAAATATACCATTTACATAGATTTTTACTTTGTTTTGTTTATGGTTAACTATTATTTTTCTATAATAGCTTGACTCCCATATTTTCTTCGTTATGGATATAATATGAATATAATATGATCATCATTCATCGATTCTATAAAATATTCTATTGATTTTATTTCTATAAAGCGTCTTTCACTTGTAATATTTTTCTTATAGTGTTATTTAATACTTTTTTGCTTTTGGAATACCTTGGATGGAATTTCAGTTTTTATGGATTTATTTCCATGCCATTTCTTCATATTTTATTCCATGAATTTCTGTAATTTTGCTTTATTTTGTGTGTGTCCAAATATAATTTAAACACATTTAAAAATTTTAAGATCTATTTTCTGATCAATTCCTGGCGCATTCGCCATTTATTTAAAAAACTTGACTGAATTCCACTTCTGGCTTGTCTAGCATTTTCTCCAATGAATTTTCCTGTGTAACATCGACTTCAGAACATCATAACTAGCCTCCCCTAAGAAGAGGAGACCTGGGTCACCCCCTAACCCTGATGTTCGGCCATCGATGACCTATGTAGCATGCATAGGTACCCAAGGGAGTCACCACCCTCTGGTTTACGAGCTAGGTGTTCTAACGCTAGAGGCTTCGGCCGGATACGACCTGGCACCCAAGCTACGAGACTTCTTCGTGCACGTATTCCGTGACCCTCGAAGAGGCAGGGGGCGGGATATCGGACACATTGAAGATGATGAGGGGGGTCCGCCTGTAGGGGGTCCCGGTGGATGTTCGTTCGATGGGTGACGAGGGTGACCCGAGACGAGGCTGCTTAGCTGGGATGGGAACTGACTGGCGAGGCTTAATCGTCGGAAAAGGGTTAAATCAGATGAAGGGGGGCGAACTTATATGCTCTGGAGGATTTTTCTTTATGTGCTTTAGTCATATTTTGACTAGATATTTGTTAGAGGTGGCCAAGCATAACTTTTTGTCAATTTTCCTGTTCTTATTGACCACATATTTCTTTATTTTTTTAATAGCATCTAACACTTTTTGCTTCATCTTGCTTTTGGTCTACCTCTCTCTATTTTTATCTTCCATATATTTTTTACAATTGGTATATCATTCATATCACATATCTTCTATGACTGTATATTTTCATGACATTCATATTTGTATATTTTCATATTTGTATATTTTCATGCCATTTTTTTCCAATTTATTCCCCATTTTCAAAATATTTTTTTCAATTCGTTGTATCTCTTTCACTATTTTTCATCAATTCTATAAACTCGTCCATTCTAAGAATTCTATAATTGTATATATTTTTTTGTTATTTTTCTGAGGCTTCTGTACGCTCATCCCTTTTATTTTCATGCATTTTTTTCAATTTTTCTTAACTTTATTTCTCTCTCATATTATCTCAGTCATTATTCACTTGTATGAATTTTATTTCTTTTGTATTTTGTCATTCTGTGTCCAGACTTTTCTAAGAGATTTTATTTCTATGGTCTATAGACAATTTTTATTATCTATAGACTTATTTCTAGTGTCTATAGAGTTTATTAGAAATTTTGTAGTCATTTTCATGACTTTTTTCAATTGATCATTCCATACATAGTAAAATTTGTTGTTCACTTCATTTTTAAATTGATTTCTTATTTTTATTATTATTTATATTACTGCTTTTCTTCTAAGACATCCGAATGTTTGATTTTATTTCTATCGATGTCTATATATAATCGTGTAATTTTGAATTTATTTCTTGATTGATTTTCTCTTCATTTCATATAAAATTGTTTTTGAATGGGATATTGTACTGTTTTGGAACAAGGATTGAGAATGAAATTCATCATTAAAGACGAACCTAAATAGTTTTAGGTAAATTAGGTGTATTTTCTATGTCGAATATGTTAAATAAATACCTAATATTATTGTAATTTGTAAAATATGTAGATCTAAATGGTTAATTTCAAATAAAGCATTTTGGCGCTCAATTTATTGTAGACAGGCAACTAAACATACACCAAAAATTTTAGTTATTTTTTTAGGCAACTATAAATACACTTAACGTGTATATAGAGTTGCCTATATATTGAGTTTGCATTTTTTAATTTAGTTTTTCACTGTTTTTTTAAATAATATAATTAAAATATTTTTAATAACAAATACAGCCAACTTAACCATGTTTTTTTCTTGCATTACTATCAAAAAAAAAATCTTTATTTAACGAAGATTTCTATATACCTTATAATATTTTATGAAGCCTATCAATTTACTGAAAATTTAAAATTACAGAAGTAGTAGTTATTAACTTAGGTTATTAATCAAGGTTGTTAATGAAGAACTAATTAATTATATTTACTTTTATTTTTCTTACAGAATCAATACTTTCGTGAAGGGTAGCCAGAAGATGTATTTACTTCAATAGTAAACGTCCGCATGCCGACCAGTATCTTGGATTTTAATATACTTTTTAGATTACTCTTTGTTAATAAAATATATTTAATAAATAAAAATTAACAATGAATGAGTTTTATTATACCAAAATATACATATTAAAAATACTGTCTAATCCTGAAAAAAAAAGAAAAAGTCATTTAATTATCACAAAAATAATAGTAAACAACTTAACATTGCTCTGGAATAGACAATATTTTATGTAAAAATAATACCTCCTTGCCCTTAAGAATTCCCAATACAAATCCCTGATATTTCAAATTTAAACAAAAATTGCACGAAAAATTATTTCTATACCTCTTCGCTCTTATGTACTCCTCATATATATCCGAGAAAATTCAATTTTTGTCATAGACTGCACGAAAAATTTTAAACCGTCTCAAAAATAGCCGATTTCTATCAGGAACACATAAAAGCGAAGAGGTAAGGAGCAAATTTAGTACCACATTTTAATATAGCATCGATCAACGATATTTCTGCTATCTCTAGCACTTCGACCTCGTTTCCAAACTTTAACCCTCAATATTTCGGAAACTATAAGGGGTAGAGAGGAACGGAACTCGGCTTTCGATAGGCATTTCAACCCTCTATAAGGGCGCAAAACGAGGGCGCGATCGGAGACCAAAAAATTTTCAAACCTTCCTTCATTTTTGCCGAAAATTTTTTTTTGTCTCCGATCGCGCCCTAATTATGCACCCTTATAGAGGGTTGAAAGGCGAATAGAATGCCGAGTTCCGTTCCTCGATATCTCTTTTAGTTTAGAAGTTATGGCCGTTTTTCGAAAAAATCTAACTCGTTCGAACTCGTTGGTCGGGTACTCCAATTTTTGCCAGGTCGAAATTATTTTTGGTCGGTTTTGTCAAAAGCGGAGAAATCTTGAATTTGTATCAGGAACGTATGAGTACGAGGAGGTATTTTTCGATACCAGGAGTAGTCAGTTACATTCACCATTTTGTCAAGAATTTATTTCGTTTATTTTTACCTCCTTACTCTTATGTACTCCTGATACAAATTCTCTTTTACTTGATTATTATTATTATTATTTATTTGGAGGTACTAAATATTTTGTCAATAATAAAAAAGTTTTTCTCATAGTAGAAGATATACTATAATTTCATTTCCTACTTACCTAAGATTTTTTTTTAATACGTAAATTTTTATTTCAAAAAACTGTTTATTTTACTGTGGTATTTCACTAAATTATATACCATATGATCGAAAAAAAAACGTCATCCAGTTGGCATGGTATATAATTTTCCATACAAAATAACAGCGATCTTCATTTCATAGCCATCCCTGACGCCGTTTTTTTTTCGATCATATTGTTTTTTAAACCATGCATCAATATGCATATAGTTTTTTAATAAATATATTTGTTGCATCGTTCATGAAATTTTGTTTTATTTATCGAACGAGAAAAAAAACGGTGTCGCAGTAGGCTGTTTGGGTAAAACTTCGAGGGATGAAATAAAAACAAATATAAAAAACAAACTTCTTTATTTTCTTTAAATTGTAAATCGTTAGAACTTACTGGCTCTTATGTATAACAGTGGAATAAACAAAAGTATCCATAAAACGGATACCATCGCGCCATCTTGCGCTATACATATATACAATAACAAGGACACTATGTTGTCTATTAATATGACAACATAAACACATCTAGTATACATCTATCTATATTCGTTGAAAAAATATACATTAGAATTATTTTGTTTGTGAAATGGTATACAGGGTGTCCCAGGCTGAGCGTGCATTAGAAGTTTTCTAGAGAACTACAAAATCTAGATTGGAGATTTTTTGCACATCACTGTTTCACAACGAGATTTATCGATTAAAATATTTTTAATAGTATGGCGACACTTCCGGAAATACCAAAAGTTGACAGCAACTTTCTTTATTTTAAATGGGTACCCCCATTTTTTATTAAATACTTAAATTCTCTTGTAAAATTTTATTTTTAGTGGGTTTCGCTAGTGGATTTTTAGTGATACTCGCTCAGTGGGCACCGAGTGGGCGTGGCAAAATCTAGCCAACCGAGTCAGAGCCCACTGAGCGTAACAGTTAGATTTCCGCCACTAGAGTAGTAGGAACAAAGAACTTGAAGGAATTGGACTGTTGTCTCTGTTCATACTATCTTTACATTTATTAATTCTGATGCTTTCATTGCATCTAATTGCCTGTAATTTGAGACTTGTTTAATTAATTTTAAATTATTAAGATCTATACAATGTTCTTTATCAACAATATGTTCGGCAACGCAAGATTTATCCGGTCTACCATATCTTATCTGAGCTAAATGTTCTTTAAATCTAGTTAATATTGATCTTCTAGTTTGCCCAACATATTTCTGATTACAATCTTTACAAGAAATTTCATAAATACCCGACCTTTCCAGTGGAGGTGTTTTATCCTTTGGATTACCTAATAATTGTTGTAATTTATTATTAGCACTATACACAAGTTTATAATTAACATTCTTAAAAATTCCTTTTAGACCACGGGATAACTCTATATCAAACGGTATTAAAAAAAAATTGTAAAAAGTACCTATTGAAAAAAAAAAGAAAAAAAAATTTTTGCACGCTCAGCCTGGGACACCCTGTATATATAGCTCTGTAATGCAGATGCATATGCAATATACAATTAAATGTTTATGAACAAATATGAATTGTGACATATTTTATGAAATAATTAGCACAAAATAACTGATAAAAAAAACAGAGTTTGTACTTGTATTGTGTTTGTGCTATTACACGTTATTCACCGTGATACAAATATTCATATAAAGAAAATAAATATATTAGACACTTGAAGAATCAAAAATACAAAAATATACAAATTTTTTTAATAAGTGTTATTCATGATCGACCAAATAATATAAATATTCAAAACATACTGTATTAAGGAACTATAGTCTGCCCAACGAGGGGATACATGACAATGACAGTTGCGTCTGTCATTTTAATGCATAGATAAATTATATTCCTGTTATTTTTTGGATGTCATCTGTCGAAAACTTCCCTGACTCGTTGGATGGACTTTATTTATACATTGAATTTTATACAGTGCGACTCAAAAATCTTCTTAATATTGTAAAAGAAAAATCTTAAAAAATATATACAGGGTGCGTCTCAAAAGTGGCTCACCCCTATAACATTTTTAATTATTTTTTTCATATTACATGACACATCACAAGTTCTTGGACTTTATCATTCTAAAACTTTATAGTGTTCTCTCTGATACATCACTATATTATTCTGTTAGATTTATACAAATCTATGGCACCATTACACTTAGTAGAATAAATACATCATCCAAACTATTTTAACATTATTTTTTGTATATACATACATATTTACAATAAAATATCTTACTAAAATTACAGTACTTTATAAGTTTTTTAGAACTTTAAGTAACTTTTGACATAGTATATATATATTTTTCTACTTTTCATCACAGATCCGTCATTCCAATTTACAATAAAGTACTAACTTTGGTTTGATACGCCCATTATACAGGGCGGCGCCTCTTATACGCCGCGGAGACTCCAAAGAGAACGACAGTTTGTTCTGAAATGACATTTTGTGAGCATATGTAGTATTTTTAATTACAATAAAAGCTACTTAAATTGGAATTTACCCGGTATAGCCTAAGATCACAGAATATCTAGCTACACTATATATATTCTATGCTAATATATGTAGTTAAATTAAATATCGTACTTTAAATCAAATTAAAACTTGATCCAAAAAGTTATACAGGGTATGACAAAATTAATATTGAATATCGGTCACCTTTAAAAGCATGTTATTTCTTTTATTTTTTTTTTTCTTTTATTTTAAATGGAACACCCGGTATATTATTCTGATATTCAATGGAGAATTCATGTCTCTTTAAAATACTATTAAGGTTGCCTACCCCACAAACAAAGATTTTCCTAGATATTTTCATTTACATGATTTGATCTGAGTGGATCTTTATTATTTGATAAAATCTAGGTAGCTGTGATATGTGACTTCAACATAGCTGACGTGACTTCAACATAGCTGTCTAGTTAGTGCAATTTTAACAACTAGTTATCATTTTGTGTCAGTTAAAACGAAAGAAATTTAAAATTTACTCTTCATTTTCACAAAATATGAAATATGTCAAAATCCTTAGATTTTAGGTATATTCTTCTTTACTAAAACTCACCTTTATTTTTTTCTAGAATCCGAAAATCAATTAATATATAGGGTGTTCCATTAGAAAAAAAACAACTTTGATGTGTAACTTTTTTGGGGGACACCCTGTATAATTCTATATATTTTTTTAAATGCTTTCAGTTAACCTACATGCTGCCAAAATTTCATTTCGATATACACTACCGTTCTCCTTGGAGCTTCCGCGGCGTATGAAAGGCGCCACCCTGTACAGGGTGTCCGATTTTCGTGAGTTTTACGGGGTTCATAGAAAGTATATAGTAAGTCTTTTAGTCATTTTATATGATTCTCTCTACAATCCTGCGCAAGTGCTCGTTCCCCTGCTGCGTCAGATCGCGCACTCGTCGTTCGTCGTCTCGCCCGAGTGCATCTCCACGTCGGTGAACTCCGTCACCAGTTCGCTGAGCTCGACTAGCGACGAACCGGAAATGTCGTCGGTATGGCTGCGCAGAGGGCGGTGGAAATGGTCGCGACCGGCGCAGGTCAGGCGGGTGGAGGAGTGGTCGCAACCGGAAGCCGTTTCTCAGGTGGCCGTGACCATCCAGCGCCGGCCGTTGAGGAGTGGCTGCGCGGTGGCGTGGTGGCGTGACAGTTTCAGGGAGGTCATCTGTTCGCCGGACGAGTTGGACATTGTCTGGCCTGAAATTGAAAATAGTAATATTATATAACATTTATAATATACAGGGTAGTCCGAATTATATTCCGGAAACTTCGACAGCATATTCTGCAGATAAAAATAAGTAAAAAAGTTCGTATAAATGTATGTCCTAAAATGCTTAGTTTCGGAGATACTGGGTGTAAAAGTTTCATTTTTATTTCGATTTTTTCCAAATGATTTCTGAAATAACGTCAATATTTGGATGAAAATTGGTATCTGGGAGTATTGTGACACGAGAAATTTGATTTTGATGTCAAAATTACTCCTATTTGCAGGGGGCGCCACCTACATGTGTTTTAACTGTTTTGAAGAGTAATAACTTTTCGACCGTACCTGTATAAAACCACTGACTAAAAAAATATACATTTTCATGACTTTTTATGTAAAAAATGTCTCTTGGTAAAAATCGCTACGAGCAACCGTTCTCAAGATATTTAGAATGGAAATAGTCAATACATGTCATTATTGACAAAAAATAAGCACACATTCAGTATAGTTATTTGACTGAAATAATAAATTTTTATTTTTTTAAATTAATCATAAGTTTTCTGCGAAAAAATGATGATTAAACAATTTCTTTTGAACTTTTGACACAAAAAGATTTCAAATTTATGATTTCAGTCTAATTACTATTTAATCAACATGTTTAATTTATGTCAATGATGACAGGTATTGATAATTTCGATTCCAAATATCTCGAGAACCATTAAGCTACATTCGCAATCAATTCGCTGGCCCAGTGGTACTTTGGCACGCAAGCTTATCATATGTACTTCAGTGTAATCATTCACAACAAAATTCGACGCCAGAGTGCAAGTTGAAGTTGGATTGAAAGCTTGCAAGCTGCAAACTTCCACTTCAGCACGGAATTTTCGTTTGACAATTATGACAATTTTGACATTTAAATTTTAATAATTATTTTGTTTGTGTTTACACGTTTGTGTCACAAGCCATTTTCCTGTGAAAAGTAAATATTTATTATTAAAAGAAAAATGAGTGAAGTGGACGCTATTCCTATTTTATCAGGACTTGTGGCTTTGCTGTTAAAAAAACGGCAATTATTGTTGCAGCTCAATAATTCGCTTGATCGTAAACCAAGGGGTTTACCAAAATCTAAAAAATGAGGCGTCCGACCCATATTAATGGCGAGAAAAAGTTTTGGGTTCTACGAAAATCTTTTACAAGAAGCTCGCTTAAGCAATCCCATAATTGAGACACATTTTAGAAAAAAATCATCACTAAATGACGTTCTTGTTTCCATTTTTCTAAACATAAAAACTTGGAAAACTTAATTAACAACTGTTCCGGATTTTGCCTCTTCCATATGCTTTTCCAAAATAAAAACAAACAACTGACCTAAAAAAATGTTTAGGAGACGTTTAAACACGCGTGCGCAAAATTCGACTTGAAATTTGTTGTGAATGGTTAATTTCGTGCCGACTTTAATGTCGAATTGCCACTTGGCCAGCGAATTGATTTCGAATGTAGCTTCCTAGCGATTTTTACCAAAAGACCTTTTTTTATGTAAAAAAAGTCGCAAATGTATGTTTTTTTACTCAGTAGTTTTATACAGGTATCGACGAAAAGTTATCTTCAAAACAGTTAAAATATATGTAGGTGGCGCCACCTACAAATGATGATGCTTTCATATGCATCTAATTGCCTGTAATTTGAGACTTGTTTAAGTAATTTTAAGTTATTAAGATCTATACAATGTTCTTTATGTTTAAATATGTTGGGCAAACTAGAAGATCAATATTAACTAGATTTAAAGAACATTTAGCTCAGATAAGATATGGTAGACCTGATAAATCTTGCGTTGTCGAACATATTGTTGATAAAGAACATTGTATAGATCTTAATAACTTAAAATTACTTAAACAAGTCTCAAATTACAGGCAATTAAATGCATATGAAAGCATCAGAATTAATAAATGTAAAGATAGTATAAACAGAGACAACGGTCCAATTCCTTCAAGTTCTTTGTTCCTACTACTCTAGTGGCGGAAATCTAACTGTTACTCTCGGTGGGTTCTGACTCGGTTGGCTAGATCTTGCCACGCCCACTCTGTGCCCACTGAGCGAGTATATAAACGCTCCAATTGTAGATTGTATTTTAGTTTATAATCATCTGCTGATGATGCTAACATGGTCAGCGAAACGCGCGTCCAGTGTAAAAGTAAAAGTGTTTTGGTGTATTGTGGTGATTTACTGTTTTATTTTGCTATACGTAGTAGTTCTATGTCCAGGAAATATTGAGACACCTCGTATTTTATTCAATTTGATTTTTGGTTAAGCACATTTTAAGGGGTTTTTGATAATACGATTTTCTGGCTATAAAAACATTTTACAAAACCTGGATGCCGTATTTTATAAAACTCCGCTCGTAAATAAGCAGCTGTTGAGCTTTTTACTTTTCCGTTAAGGACGGTCTGTTTGTGCGTGTAAACTTTCTCTTGCCAATTTGGAACAAAGAAGGAGATAAATCAAAAGCCACACCGCCTGCATTTGAATATATATTTATTTTACCCTTAAATCTAATACGATGCTTTCTTATAAATAATTCATCAGTTTTATTCATGTTGTATTATCATTCATGGCGAGTTTTCTTACAAACCCAAAAAATTTCTTATATTGGTCAAGATTTATCTTTTTAAAGAAAATTGCACAAAGAATTTTTGTCACGGTCTAATTTATGTGCCTAGATCATATACAATTACTTAACACTTACAATATCTTGATTGTTTATTGAGCAATCTTTTTCATTTTTGGCAGGAGGCTGTATGGCTATAAGACGTACATTTTGCCCAGGGTAAGAAATGCGATACCTCATAGACGTACGTTTTAATGGCGTTTGATATTTTTCGAGTCAAGAGTAAACTACTCTTAGGACAGTATTTATTTAAAATCTGATAAATTATATTGAGTCCTCCTTACCTAAGATAGTTAAGTTCAAATTTTGATAAATATTGATACAGGGTGTGTCATTAAAATAAGACATTTTTATTATTATTTTTTAAGTACTTACGACGCCACTGGATAACAACTGGTTTATTATCAACTAGCGTGTACCAGCGACTTCGTTCGGGTCGAATTAATCATTTGTAATGGTGATGATAAAGCAAAGCAAAAATTTCCATTAACATACAAATTGGATAAAATTTTCTCACATTTATGTCAGCATGAGAAAAGCAATATAACTTGGTAATATTTGAGGGGTAGTTTCATCTCGTTGGAATTTGACTTTCGAAAAATCCGTTTGCTAAAAATAAGCTTTTTACGTGAAGCAGTTTAAGCAGAATCGTGGTTAAGAAATTACCCAACTGTTTGGAACACCCTGTATGATTTTCTAAAAAATTTCAAAATATGTAAAAAAAACAAATAAATTATGCTTGTCCAAGCGTTTTCCCGAAAGACTAACCTTTTTTTAAATAACAAATATTGTAATATTTGAGGGGTGTTTACACCCTCTTGGAATTTGAGATTCGAGAAACCCCTCCTTATCGAACCTCTACACCCCACAGTCAATCCGTTTGCCAAAAATCAGCTTTAAACGTCAAGCAGTTTAAGCAGAATCGTGATTACTCAATGGTCATATTTTATGAAACACCCTGTATAAATTTGTAAAAAATCTTAAAATATGTAAAACAACAAAATAAAATATACGTGTTTAAGAGTTTTTCCGAAAAACTCACCGGTTTTTAAATAAAAAAATATTTTAATATTTGAGGGATAGTTTCACCCCCTTAGAATTCGAGTTTCGAAAAATCCCTTGTTATCGAACCTCTACACCCTAAAGTCAATCTGTTTTCCAAAAATCAGCTTTTTACGTCAGGATCGTGATTAATCAATGACCAGATTTTTCGAAACACCCTGTATACATTTTTAAAAAATCTTAAAATATGTAAAGAAACAAAATAAAATGTACGTGATTAAGCGTTTTTTCGGAAACTTGACCGTTTTCTAAATAAAAAATATTGTAATATTTGAGGGGTGGTTTCACCCTCTTTGAACTGGAATTTCAAAAAATCCCTTCTTATCGAACCTCTACACTCTGGAATCAACCTGTATGCCAAAATTGAGCTTCTTACGTTGAGTGGTTTGAGCAGGATCGTGATTAATCAGTATGTCATGGATTTTATATATTATATTAGTATAGATAACCAATTATCAATTAAATATATAATAAAGATATTCAATTATAAATTAATAATCGACTTAAGTTTTCAAATAGCTTCCATAATAATTAAGATACGATACAAAAAAAAATATTTTCAATTTATTTTGCTTACTTGCTAATACAAATGAATAAAATGAGTTACAAAATAATTTTAAAACCCAGTTTTCAATGGAATCCAAAATATGATTTTTATTCGTTTTATTGAGGAATATTTAAAAAAATCCAAATAGTTAGGTATTTAAAACAATCACTATTAACTTTGAAAAATATGCTCTAAACAAAGATTTATAAAACTATAACGAACTAATTTATAGTTTATAAATAATAATACTAATATAATAATTTATAATAAAAATAAATAAAAAAAAAGCTAATCAGTCAAACCCACAACCCTTTTCAATGTAACCCCATTTTACTAATCCTACAGAGACCAATTAATTAGCATTCCTTTCCATAAACACCCAGATAATTTGATTATATTATAAAACTGCCTTGTATTTATCTGGATAATGAATAACAAAAATTTTATCTTTTAAGGAAAAACTTTTAATTTAATTTGTGAGAATAAGCGAAAGTAATTATCTAACTCTGTCGAAAAGGGAAAATTAATTTGTACCCTGGGATCAAAACTCTCTCTCTTAGTTCCTATTTATCGGAGAATTCTTTAGATTGATTAGGTTAAAGGATCCTAACCTTAGATCATATGTGTTTTCATAGAAAAGGTTTCTATCTCTAACGATGATGTCAACATTCTTGTTTGTTCTTGTTCTTAAACGTTAGCGTTACGTGAGTAGAGTAGAT